CCTATTATAAATCAAACAATACTTTATTATTTAGTCCATTTGGAATCATAGTATTTAATTTATGGACCCAAAAAGATTCTTTACATAACCGGTCCATGTTGTTGTCTATAATTTCTATAGGTAAAAATGAAAAATCTGACAATGAACACTTATTATCGTTTGATCCGAAATGGATCGCAACATGTGAAACTGGATTAACGTCACAATTTCTTATATCAAATCTATGTTTATTCATTCTGCATGATACATTTTGATTAGTCTGACCTACGTATTGCTTTTTACAGCCTTTAGAAGGAATTCTATACACATAAAATATGCTTGCACTGCACTGGTCTGTTAAAATAAAATGAATTCGGTGATTCTATGCTGTTAAATAAAATGAAGATGATGACGATGATGAAGTTGATATTTATGTTGACAAGTTATATTTGGAATTTTGATGATAACAAACATTTTATTTGACCAAGAAAGATACTTTTTTTCAAAATTCAGTTTGTTAGATGGATGGATGGATGGATGGATTGGTGGGTGATTGGATGGATGGATTGATGGATGGATAGATGGAAGGACGGGTTGGTGGATGTGTATGTGTGTGTCTGGGTGGTTGGGTGGATGGATGAACGGACGGACGGACGGACGGATGGATGGATGGATGGATGGGCATACATGCAGATAGTCAGATACTGTAAGAAAAACAACTCCCGAAACACTTCATTCTGCTAATCTTTGAAGATTTAACTCCCTTTCCAATGTTTTATGCTGATATAACTCATTCGGCTTTTCTTTAACTTGGCAGGTGATTTCTTTTAAAATTAGTAACAATATTTTATGTCACAGAAATGACCAGTCTAGTTAAATAATAGCCAGGAGAGTTAAAATCTTAATAATCCTTCGCCTTCGCACAAAGCATTGTGAAGGGAGTTAAATCATTGAAGATTAGTAAAATGAAGTCAGAGTTTCAAAAACATCTACTAATAAATAATTAAAAATTAACAACTGGTAAAGACCTGACTTGCGGGGTTTTGATTGTAAAGTTTCATTAAATACCACCAACCTCCCATTGCAAATAAGACATACTTCCTGCTATTTTTGCCCTCAAACAAAACCTTCAAATTCGTGACCTTTGTTGGAAACTGCGGGGACGGAAGGAATGTTAAAACTGAGCTCATTCCCCTTACAACTTACTGGTGTATTGCGGTAACAAGAAACATGGTTTTTCTCGGATTATCGGTTACGCCCTGGTTCAATTTGTATTCATCAATTAAGTATCAACTAATAAAAAAGAAAAATCAGGCTTAAATTCATAGTTAGATATACAATGTATAAGTCTTGAAAAATACGCATAAAATGAGAATAAGGAATCATTTATAAATATCAAGATGTATTTTACTACATATATCAAATGTCTCGTGCGAACCTAAAGTTTAAACGCAGACGACACTCTGATAAAATATTTTATCGGTTTATCTGGCGGTAATCTCATTAAATGGTGATTTTAAAATCAATTTAACAATTCTATTCAGGGGCTTTAATACGGGATGAATTCTAAAACCACGAATCTCTTTGTGATAGATTATAAGATTATGAAATATTAAATCATAAGATTTTCCATACATCAAATGTCGACATGAATCGTTTGACGGTTTAATGTATTGACATTAATATATGCAAGTATGTATGTCCATGTACTTTTAATATGTATGCTGTTTATAATATGCAGCAGATTTTCTTCCTTTAATATTACATAATTAAAGACCAACCAATATCAGGTTTTCTGAACTATTGAAAAAAAAGATAAAATATTGTATAATATTGTAGTATATTGTGTAACGTATCGAATAAATTTATACAATATCTTAATATTATAATATTGTGTATGATGATGCATTTTGTGTACTAGTCGAATTAAAAATATGTTTTAATCTATTCCGTATTGTCCTGTGCCATTGTGTATCACGATGTATTGCACTGTATTATCACATTTTTCGTTTCGTTTCATTTTTATGGTACTGCGCTGTTTTGAAATTTATTGAACTGGATTGTTCACCGTGTTGTTGTGTTATTAATATTGTTTTGATATTGTGCGGCGCAGTGTGGTGTGGTGAGGTGTTTAGTGGTGCGGTGTGGTGTTTAGAGGTATGGTGAGGTGTTTAGAGGTGCCATGTGGTGTTTAGTGGTGTGGTGTTTAGATGTGTGGTGAGGTGTTTTGAGATGCGGTGTGGTGTTTAGAGGTGTGGTGTGGTGTTTAGAGGTGTGGTGTGGTTTTTAGAGGTGATAAGTGATGTTTAGAGGTGTGGTGTGATTTTTAGAGGTGTGGTGTGGTTTTTAGAGGTGAGGTGTGGTGTTAAGAGGTGCGGTGTGGTGTTAAGAGGTGTAGTGTGGTGTTTAGAGTTGAGGTGTGGTGTTAAGAGGTGCGGTAGGTGTGGTATGGTGTTTAGAGGTGTGGTTTGGTTTTTAGAGTTGATGTGTGGTGTTAAGAGGTGCGGTGTGGTGTTTAGAGGTGTGGTGTGGTGTTTAGAGGTGTGGTGTGGTTTTTAGAGTTGAGGTGTGATGTTAAGAGGTGTGGTGTTAAGAGATCCGGTGTGGTGTTTAGAGGTGTGGTGTGATGTTAAGAGGTGTGGTGTGGTGTTTAGAGGTGCGGTGTGGTGTTTAGAGGTGTGGTGTGGTTTTTAGAGTTGAGGTGTGATGTTAAGAGGTGTGGTGTTAAGAGATCCGGTGTGGTGTTTAGAGGTGCGGTGTGGTGTTAAGAGGTGCAGTGTGGTGTTCAGAGGTGCGGTGTGGTGTTAAGAGATCCGGTGTGGTGTTTAGAGGTGCGGTGTGGTATACTGTTCTATGCTGTGTTGTAAGGTATGACATGAGAATTATAATATAGTTGAAAGCTTTGACTGAACTATCTTTTCTTCATTGATTCAACATTACGCTTTTTTTTCGCCTTACTTTTATATACATCCATAAACCGTTTCACAAGTGATCCGTTATTATATCCGAAAATGTTATTATTTTAATTTCTCAAAAACTTCCTTTTTTTCCCCCGGCGTCTTGTTACAATTTATTAAAAGCGCTCATTGGCCTTATAGCTGAAATAATCTTAAGCTACTTTTACGTTCAAGCAATTAGTTAAAATAATAGGGAGTTAGTGTTTTGAATAGAAGTCAAAATACCATTTTGTTAACATTTTGCTATTTTCATGAAAAACATTTTTGCATCCAGTACTTATATCTTCCGATGATAAGCATTGTATATGTTTTAAATCCTTAATTTATGCATAACTTACAAAGGTTTGGCCCTTATAAAGACAAAACAAATATTTCATTTAACAAAAAAAATCAGAAATCATATCTTAAATTTTAACTAACAACTGAACTTTTTCTGGCATTAAACTACATACAGTATGTAGCTATAAGTGTAAAATTTACCCTTGTAAAGTCACCTTTAAAATGGTCAGTTTAATCTATAGATATAGACCAGGTATACTTATGGTCAATTTATTTTGATTAGAAGAAAAATTCTTTCGTGCTAATGAATGATAAAAATATGCTAAATCATTGCCCCATGCAACTTGTTTAAAACCGTCAAATCACAGTTGATCGAAAATTTTGATAAAAATTCATAACAAATGTATAACAGTGTGTTGGTAAATAATATATCTATTCAACACGACATCAATATTTACCCCAAAGATAAGAATTGAATTGAAAGAAGCGTTTGTATTCTGTGTGAATGCAGTAATTTGCGAATTCTTAAACCTGAATGTCGAAAAATTTAGATCGCATTAAAAGCCCATCTGTTAAAGAAAAAATCAAATTACTTTGTCAAACAATTTTATGACACAACGCTATTAATTCTCTTGAATTTGAATAACAATTTATGTATTTTAGTAACTGTACATTATTTGTACATACGAATTTGATTAAACCATGTTATAACTGTGAAAGAGACAATTTTTAAGTATTTTTCCTTCAAAGTAATTTTCAATTATACAATACGTAATTTCCCACACACGTTCTTTGTGCCAGGGATCCACTTAAATTTAACGAATGTAGGACAGAAAAAAACGAAGAAGGAAAGAACGAACAAACTTAACTAAAGCTAGGTTAAAGGAATAAAAAGTCGAATAAATGAATGAGTAAATAATTGAAATACAGAGCGAAGACTTAACATGAGACTTAACGAATAAACAAATTACCTAACACTCTAATAACAAAACGTGTCAGCGGACAAACATGAAGGAGAAAACGGACGGACGCACGGACACATAAACAAGTGAATTCGACGTAAATTATACCCGATGAAGACATTTGAGTCGAAACCATTTTTTTAAAATGATAATTTATTTATAATTCTAAACTGGAATTGACTATCATGTTCATACACTGTCATATTTTCATATCTATGTACATTTTACATAATTTAGACAGTTGTATTATTTTGATATGATTGTTTAAATTCACTGTAGAAAACTCTCGTTTTAAGTTTTAAGTAATTTTTTTGTTACTCTATATGATTATTAACAATTGTATCAGAAAAAAGTCTATATCTTAAATAAACATGAATGTCTCCAATTCAAACATAAACTCGATCTATGTATACTTTATCTTTTGAAGTTTTGAAACGTTTGAATTAAGACTGAGAAAATTACTAGTTTATTATATGTTGTTCAATGCTAATTGCTTTGGAAATTATTTGTATAACAGTTAAAGTAATAAGGTTTCCTTTTTTATCGGTTGAAATTACTAGGTTGTAAAACTAATTTTTAAAGTCTATAATTATTACTGCATGTCAATATCAGGTATTCGATTATTTAAATTATTCTAAAAACGCAGTAAAAATCTTAAAATCTTGTTTAAAATATCTGAAAGTTTTATTTATTACATGGGTAATGTATAAGTTCGTGTTTTATTTAAAAAATAACCCAAACAAAATAGTGCAATGACAATTTCACACAGATAAATTACTTTCACGTAATAACTAATTTTTTAGTTTTATTTCCAAGCACTTACCTTTTTCTAGTTGCTAGCATATAACTTGAAGCCATGTTTTTGGTCTTTTCGTGAACCGGTGTATATCCAGAAACCAAATCAAGTGGTGAAAAATATAGTTAATATCCTGACTAAAAAAACTACGTTTAAATTATTTGTTAAAAATTCTCTGAACGTCAACACTTAACTTAATCTTCCTTTAAAGAATGCGTCCTTAAGAAAGAAGAATAAAAATAAGAATTTTCCTAAAATCAAAACAGTCCTATTTCACGTCAAAATATTTGCAAAGAAAATGAACACATTGTATATCTTTTCTCAAACGACAAAGCTTGTTGGCAAAATATTAAAATAATCCTTTCAACAAGTTGTACATTTATTTTTATCCTCTTAGTACAAACGCCGATACTTTAAGGCAGTAACTAAGTCGTATTCCGCGCGAAGAGTTAAAACCACAGGGACCTGACGTGTACTGATCTGTCCTATAATGTTATAATCTCATTGATTTTGATGATTTAAAACATGCCCAGATCGGTCGCATAGTTTGTCGCGATGTTTTTCTGACGTTTGGATGTGTCGCTATACGGATAATTTTGAAAGGTTTACTATGATCTAAGCTGACCTGTTTCGAAGAAGAAAAGATCGAGCTCTTATGATTGCTGCGGCGCCGTCGATGTCGCCGTCCTTTAATAAAAAAAATTAATAAAGCCCAAACTATTCAAGTAAATTAAACGATTTTCTAGTTATCAATATGATAATTGGAATGCTAGCTTATGATAACAAGAGCCAGTTATAAGACAAGGGGCTATATTTTTCTGAAAGCTATGTTCTTGGAATTATGTCCCTTTTAACTTTGTACTAATTGCCTATTAAAAGTAGGATTATTTCAAAGCTATCAACTTTAAACTTGTCATGACAGGTGTAGATGTAGGACAAAGAGGTCATCCTGACAGCACTACTTATAGAAATGCTCCCTGTTTTAAAGTTATAATACATGTATTAATAAAAGAAATGGTTATTGAAAGTGTTTGCCCCTTACAGACGAGCGATAACGTCGAAAGCGGTGCTCTTGCTTGGGGTATTGAATTTAACTGCCTTTCACAACTTATTACAGAATACAGAATGCTATCATTGTTGAAAGTACTTGTTGGAGTTATTATTTATAAAATATATTATAAGGCGGAGAAAATAACTGTAAAAATAGAATAGAATCCCCTCAATTTAAATGGCTTATATGCCAGTGGGTCCAAACGCCTCAAAACATTCTTTCCCCTGATACAGTAGCGCTGCGTGGTGTAACCCGGTGCAAGGAATATATGGGAATAATTGACGTACAGGGGGCTTGAAACGACATTTACCTGAAGCAAAGTAGTTTTAGAGAGCACTTTGCATTTTATATAGTTAATTAAAAAGATAAGACTGTAGTTCAATGAGGATTTATATAACTTTATTCTTAGTTTATTAAAGGGAAAAAAGGAGATATGTTTAAGCTGTAAAAGTCTTAATTTATCTCAAGTATGTTTATTTAAAAATAGTCATGCCTCACGATGATAGTAACAAATATATAACGTCATTTTAAAATATTTATATTATTATTTTTTTAATTTATAACTCATGCAATTAAAGTAAACCCATAAAGTAAAACATCTGATTCTAAAACATAAACAAATATAAAGACTAGAATTATTAAGAGTCTCTGTGACCCGCTGACCTTGTCTGGCGGGGAGGTTCGACTGGGACAGTGCATTTGTCAAACGTCCCATGGTGGGCTCAGGGATGCGAGTTTCAAACACGTAAGTTCGGTGCTAGTGATTCCGCATCAATGTTTGAACACGATCGTTGATTCCATGTTTCGTTAAATATACAATCGTCGCACGAGTCAATCCATCGTACAATGTTGGTCACCAGGAAGTGTATCGGGAGTTAAATATACACATATTATGTCATACACATATGAGCCGCGTCACGATTAAACCAACATAGTGGGTTTGCGACCAGCATGTTGTTCGCTTACCAACTCTATTACAAATAGAGAAACTGATAGTGAACAGCATGGATCCTGATCAGACTGCGCGGATGCGCAGGCTGGTCTGGATCCATGCTGGTCGCAAACCCATTATGTTGGTTTTGTCGTGACGCGGCTCATATAATTATTCACAATTTGTGTTGAGGCTATTAAACATCTGTCACAAATACTTCCTATCTGATGACGACTGAACAAAAAATAATGTGTACTATGATAAAACAATTTCTTGTAAATTATTGTATTTGTAGTTATGAAACAAAGTGTGAACTAAATAGCTATGTTTAAAAATGCATATACATGAATTTAAATACGTGACTAACGCTTTTCGTGATAATGAATATGTATGCTTTACTACGTTGATAAATACAGATAAATACATTAATAGATTTCTAATATTATGTATTGCGAAGAACTGTCAAATTTCGGCACGGCGCCGATTAAAAGGTCGGGAAAATTCGACATTTATCGTCACATTCCGTGTCCTAATAGATAAACAATAAACGTCTTTATTGCTATGATCAACAAATATTTTGTGTACATAAATTGATAAGAAACGTCAAAAAAGTATGTCAAATAATGAAGTTGGTCGAATTCGTGCACCGAATATGCATTGTATTTGATTGTTTTCTAAACTTCCTACAATTTCACATTATCGTGTCATTTCACACATCAAAAAAATAGCATCCACCTGGCCTGCCGTGTCCCATTTGTAATATCTATACATAATGGACATACTATCAGTAGTCAGAAGAAGTTTTTGTTGTTGTTGTTTCTGCAGCTTTTGATCATTTTCACGATAATTTGATCTTTATTGATGTTCATTTCGATATTTTTTATCGATGTTACTGTCGATGATAATGATGATAATGCTATATTTTTGACAACTCTAGTAACAAGTTGTCGATAATCGATGGATGTATCGAGATCTTTTTTTTAAATGCCGATAACCTTTGTTTAAATCTCTATCTGATCGTAAAAAAAAGTTATAGAAATCCACTAAAAAAAAAACCGCCAAGTTTTCACGAAGGTATTCCTAATGCATATACATTAAATGTAAGAAAATAATAAAATATAACTATATAATCTAAAAGACGGGTTATTTATTGTCTGTTAAACCGATATTGGATCACACTGATCTTAGGGCAATATATCTTTAAAATATCGACACACAAATTCAGACCCCTGTGTATTTTATAAAGTCGAACACAATATTTACAAAGTTTGTTTCTTTACAAGTACACTGTAACAAACCTTGATCCTATGTATCGATATGATATATTAATAACCAAATGACGCTCAATCATTCGCTAAACCTCCAATCTTGACAAGGCGGCTTTTAGGGGGAATTCTTTGATTTTAAAACATCATTTTTCCCAGACTAGACTCGGGTTATAAGGTTATCCAGACGTTTCTATATCTGTATAAAATATGATCAATCGACGTTAAATGTGATAGGAAAACTTCTTAATATCGTTTGCACTGCTTTTAGAAACGTTATGCTTTTCACACGTTTGTATTCAAGATTAGATAAAATTATATAATCGAATTGCGTAGAGATATTGAAGTTATATCAATCATTCTCAATCGATCTATCTTGATTTAATTTACAGCGTATGTTTACGTAAGTAATGGAACCCCCTAGAAGGTATGCAGACAGAAAAAAAACAAGTTCTTGGTATAACAGGTAATAGCATTCAATCGTTTTTCCTAAAATGTTATCAAACTCTCTTTAGAACAGCATGACTCAAAATTCATACTTATTTTCATGGACATTCACGAAAAATGTATCAAAATGTTATATATTGTCAAGTGAACAAAGAAAGTAATTTACACATTGCAGACGACACTTAGATCTACCAATAAATATCCGAATATGCGCAAATAGCCCTTATCACGTTAGTCACGCATTAAAAAATATGAGCCGCGTCACGACAAAACCAACATAGTGCGTTTGCGACCAGCAAAAAGACCAGCCTGCGCATCCGCGCAGTTTGATCAGGATCCATGCTGTTCGCTTACTAACCCTACTACAAGTAGAGAAACTAATAGCGAACAGCATGGATCCTGATCAGACTGGGCGGATGGTCTGAATCCATGCTGGTCGCAAACCCATTATGTTGGTTTTGTCATGACGCGGCTCAATTATAGTGATGAATACAGTAAAATCAGTCAATAATTGAATATATAGAGGATATTAAATGAGTGTAAGTTCAATACTGAATTTATTGCACGAGTTGAATAAAATTATATTATGCGAGCCTCTGGCGAGCATTATATTATTTTATTCAACGAGTGCAATAAATTCAGTAATGAACTTACACGAATTTAATATTCTATTTATCACATACCCAAATAAAGACCGTTTGAAGTGAAATAAGAGTCATTTTTCATTGACGCGCCTATAGTTTAACGCTAACATTTAGCGCGTCTTTACACTATGCTTGTATAACGCTAATGACGTCACGTCAAAATATATGCACGGCCGTGCAATACCATATTTACGGAGTCGCAAAATCGGCACGGGTGTGTGATAAAACATGTAAATTAGTTCTTGAATTGTGAAATTTTCACAAAATCTTAGTACAGTTTTCTTAAGGTTGGATTTCTTGAAAATTTTGGCTCCTCTGGAGGCATGCAGCTTTAAAACATGTGCTATTGTTTTTGGCTTAAAACCATTTTTTATTTTTAGCTTAATTGTGAAACAAACGTGACGGTTGTTACAATTCCTCTCAACTATGTTCAGTGTTCAGTTTTAAAGTACATGTTCGTGTATATACCAAGCTCACCTTAGAACAACCGGGTAATATGTAAATTTTACAATTGTTACCAAACAAGTAGTCCAAAAAAAAAATTCATTTTCTACGACCTTCAGTAATCTGCCACTGAATAAGTTATTTTTTGTATATTTTGACTGGTGGGAAAGGGCGCTTTGCATATAAAAATTCTCCATTCAAATACTTTCGTTTCAGAAATTCGTGGGTCATTTATTAACAAAATAACACGAAATTTAATATCTAAAATACATTTTAATAGATTATTGTAAATAATACGCAGACAAGTAACATTGTCATAAATATATGTGTAATCAATAAATAGATAAATAAATACCTGCAATAATATAAATATCATGTGATAACTTGAAATTGTATAAAACGCACGGATATTATTGAACTGTTCATATTTGTTCATTTTTAATACTAATACACTGTAGTTTAAAAGTAATTGCAAAAATAACTAAATACCTAAGATCTCAGATAGTAAAAAAATGTAACAGTTTTCAAGTAAGTTATTTTGAAATAAATATTAACGACAAATTTTTTCCCAAATAATAAATGTCTTTAAATGTCTTTTTTCACCTATGCATTTTAAACACGCCTGAGATTTATATTAATTGCCAAAATACCATATAGACTGTCGGAGAAACACATGTACATTGTACATTATAATGTCTTCAGAATGGCTCGTGAAAAGAATGAACACAGACGGTGTCTCACTCAAACGTGACGTCACTCTATAATCGTTGTCTTCTTAACTGAAATTCACTTTCCTCATCCTCATCCGAACTTGCTTCTGCAAAACCATTGTCATTTTCAGGACATCTGTGCTTTTGGCGGGAATAATCTAACACGCATGCGCATAACTCACATTCTATCCAATCAAAATCGTTCTTTGAGTCGTAAACCATATCCGGGCACCTGTGTGGTTGACACGGGTGCGCAAGAACACAATAACATCGAGAGCACTCTGGATAAAAGTTTAAAAGTTGCACATTCAGTGTTGTAGCGAATCCTCCTTCGCAGAAATGAGGCTGTTTCGGAAATTCCAGGGTTGATTCGCAGCCTTCACATTCAATCCATGATCTAAATATAGAACTGTTCGATATTGCACGATTTTCACACGATTCTGCTGAAGTAAAATCCAGTACAGGATAACCAAATGAACACACGTCTAGAATCGACCAATCGTTTCCTATTCCCTCATCAATCAAATACGAAAGCATATTTTAACTGTAAGTGTAAACTAGGTAATAAATAGTCCCTTAACAAAGTACCCCTCTGTAGTTTCAATAGCGATCCCAGTTCCCTTCTATGAGTCAATCTCTATTTCTTACTTCATGAATTACTTTTTAAGATCTCTAAACGATATAGATACCGAAAACGTATAAGAGCACGTAACGTTTCAAGTGATGATATGGATGATACATTTAATTTATTTATATCTATTTGGACTGCCCTTAAATTAGTGACAACTTGTGATAACATGCGTTCAAACTTGTTACCTATACAAATAAACACTATTGTCAAAAGGTTTGACCAGGCCTTTATTGCACGGACATGTTTTTAGCGGCTATTGTTGACCTTTTATTGTATTGTTCACACACAAGATTTTAAAGTGAAAGATTAAAATCTAACGAAAAGTGGATTAATCAGTTTAACGTATATAATTGTTATTTAATGTAATTTCTCCGCCAGTTTCGAATTTTGAAATTTAAATGGTCATTTAGAGGCCGATAAGATTGAAAACAAGTCTGAACTTTAAGTTGAACGGGTTCAAATATTAAATTTGAATACGGATTCAAAGGTGAATTTGAAAAAAGTAAATAAACTGTAGAAACGCGCAGCAAAATTTATATTGTGTAAAACCAGTCAAAACGCTATCTGTATAACTTTTCCTTAAATTAAACTGGTTAACTTTTGAAAATAGATGCACGTACCATTCTGAATAATTAGTATTTAACTCTATACAAGGATTGGCTACTTCCTACATTTCAGATATCCTAGTGTTCTCGAAAAATGAAACGTATACACTAAGATCAACTACTTATACGTAGATACATAAAACATTTAAGACCTAAAACAAAATATGTTAGAAGAACCTTTAGAAATAAAGCTATGCAAGTATGGAATAATTTACATTTATATATTAAAGAACATTTGTCTCTTTGTGTTTTAAAAAGAAATATGAAAACATATTTACTTGATATACAACTTAAAATGAATCTGATGAATGCATGTCTTTGTCGATTTAAATGTTTTTTGTCTTTATGTTGTATATGTGTGTACATATTTGTTGATTTCTTTGTCTTGTTTATTTGAAGTCCATATTGTAAACAAGACATCTATTTCTTCACGTGTTACCGTGTTTATTATTATTATTATTATTATTATTATTATCATCATCATCATCACCACCATCATCATCATCATCATCGTCGTCGTCGTCGTCGTCCTCATCATCATCATCATCATCATCATCATCATCATCATCATCATCATCATCATCATCATCACCATCATCATCATCATCATCATCATCATCATCATCATCATCATCATCATCATCATCATCATTATTATTATTATTATTAAGAAAAAGTATAGTTCCCCCTTTTAAACGTCAATTGTTTTTATTGATAGAAGCGGCAAAAGATGCTTATTTTATTTATGTCCACAATCGGAACATCCTCGGCTATTATCTCTAATAACCTTATCCGAAGACTGACGGAAATGGCCGAAAAGTTGCGATTGTTATGTCCGGTGACCTGCTGCTGTTGATCTTAATAACTATCCGCCTTATTTGTGACAAATGCTGTTCCCAAATATTACCGAACATTCCTCCCCTGATACTTTGTATTACAAAGTACACTTGATTCTGTCAAGAAATATATGGCAATGTTACATGGTGGACTGATATATCTGCCGAGAACCATGGAAGGTGAAATATTTTTCATGGTTGGGTAGTATCTTATAAGAACCATGGAAGGTGAAATATTTTCCATGGTTGGGCAGTATCTTTTGAGAACCATGGCAGGTGAAATATTTTTCATGGTTGGATATTATCTCTTTTGAGAACCATTAAAAGTGAACTGTTTACCACAGTAGCCTATTTTCATGAAAACATGAAAAAAAATACCTATTTACCATGGTTAACTATAAAGTTTGTCCGTCGTGTACCATGGTCAATGACATATATACCATGCTTCACTGGTATCTACGCCGAGGATTATAGAAAGTGACATAATGACCATGACTCGCTGGTATATCTATCCAAAACCATGGGAAGAGACCTTTTTATCATTGTAGATTAGTAACTCCGTCGATAACTTAGACTTGTATCTCCGCCGAGATACACGGAAAGTGTCATATTTACCATGATTCAGTGATGTCCGAGATCCATGAAGAATCAGAATCTGATAATGTTTAGCTGTGGTATCTTGGTATGTTCCTATGTTCCTAGACATGGTAAATTTTACACCCGAATTTTAAAATAGTTGGAGTCAGAATTTATTCAAACCACTAAGGAAAGATATTTGTCTATCAAAGACTATAAGAAGTAAAGATTTATTTTTCAATTGTCAACTGGTTATCTATCGACCATTCACAAAACATTCGGTCTGCACTGATACTGACACTAGAAACAGGGGCGGGGGCATTTATTTTCTCAGGGAGAAGGGCTGGGATATTTTTTAATCGATTTCCAGCCACGTAATGTCTAGACAAACAAATATAAGTACAAGTAAAATGGTTTCCTGCGGTGAACATTTTAATGATATAAAGATATTTCATTTAACTATTTTCAACATTATTTGGGGGGTGGGAATAAATAAACGTTTGTATCAGGAATATAGTTGACAATTGAATAAACGATCAATATAGAAGAAGGTCTTTGGAAACTGGTGACCGTTGAAGACCCGGGAGAAGTCGAACATAAAACAATTATTTCTTTTTTTAATGAAAATGATTAAATAGGCCTGCCATTTTATGAATAATTCCGAGCAAAAATTAAATAAAGTAAACACACAAGTTTACGCAGAAAATATCTCTATTTATTATGGCAGATGCCCCTACGAATATTTTAATTTCGTAAATTTTCAGTGTAAACAATTTATTGTTTGTAAAATTTGAGATAGATATTAAAGAAACATTGATAATTTTCAAACACATCATTCAAGTTTTTCCACCTTAAACGGTAAAATAATTATAGAAAATTAGAAATATCACGTAATAGTTTTTTGTTCTTAATAAGTTGTAATTCGGACTAATTCCCTACAGGTAAATCCGTAACGTAACGGCAAACGGTATTTAGCTAGGTTTTCGGAAAGGTCAATTAACCAATCATGTACGGTTTACAGATCACATGCTCCTCCATGTACCGAAAACAGGTCACGTGCTCCACCATGCCTCAAAAGTTAAACGCGTACCAGTACCCTGCGGTCTGGAGACCGCAGGGAACTAGTTGCCCCACTTGCAGGTGCCCGACGGTAGCATTACAAAGCATAAGATACAGTGAACTCACAGAGTTCAGATACTTTTTTTTTCAAATTCGTTGTTAAGACAAAACGTCTAGTGAAGGTGCATAGTGGTATAGACTTATAGAATGTCGGGGGCTCGCACTTATTGTGCCGAAAAGTGCAGATGAACCCTTATTAAACGCCGTGAATCATGGTGTCTGAGCATACGGCAGATTAATATAGATCTGTCGAGAGCCATAAAAACACGTCTGAGTTTACCATGCAAAATCATTCAATGTAAATGGATAAAATAAAACTAATAACAAAAACAGTCTTTCGGCAAAGTTTATAAAATAACAACCAATCTTTGCAATAATAACAAAGAGAAAGCAAATGAGCCGTGTCACGACAAAACCAACATAATGGGTTTGCGACCAGCATAGATCCAGACCAGCCTGCGCATCCGCGCAGTCTGATCAGGATCCATGCTGTTCGCTTACAGACCCTATAACAAGTAAAGAAACTGATAGCGAACAGCATGGATCCTGATCAGACTGCGCGGATGCGCAGGCTGGTCTGGATCTATGCTGGTCGCAAACCCATTATGTTGGTTTTGTCGTGACGCGGCTCAAATCTTGTTTTATTAATGTTAAATCAATAAAAAAATCAATCATATGATGTAAATCATATACATGTATATGTTCGTTAAATTGTTGGATTAAGGAATGAAAGCAAGCATATATATTGAAGCAACAGTAGGTATCACAGTTTGACTAAAACAATCGTTATTGCATAAATTATAGGAATTTTTATAATAATACAGTAAAACCTGTACTTAAATGCCATATTGATATTGCTATTACATCTGACTTAACCGACCATCCTTAATTATTTTTTTATACAAATAACCACCCTTATCTGAATTACGTACTAAGAAACTTTTTCACCTTAAAGAGACAGTAATCTTTCCGAAAAGGGTGCCTTTGAAAATGCCTCAATTTTCAATTTATGTTATTAAAAAGAGAATAAATAAACGATACTGTCAAACCCCGTCTTTGATGACCACGTTGTTTATTGGGATCTGACTTTATTATAAATAAACATGATATTCTTTAATAATACCTGTAGTAATTTCATTACTATAGTCACTTCCTATAAATAGGCATCGCATATTTGAGTAAAACTTTTAAATTTTTTTCAAATTAGCACTTTCTCCCATTGAAGTTAAAATGAAAAACAAACAAAAACATATAAATAAAAATATGAAAACGATTGTCTTGCATTTGAAGAGAAAGTGATATGCAGTGAACGATGTAAGAACATGTTTTAATCTCTTGACCTTTGAACTTCTTTTAAGTACTCAGCAACTTCAAGGTAAAGCTGAACGAAAAATAAAAATAACAACAGCAACAACAACAACTTGTAAGCCTGTTCAATCATGGCAGTGGTTAATGCAATCTATCCCTCATGCCCCTAGCACAGGCTTAAGTAGAGCTTAATATTAAACAATAAAAATGGTGTAAAACTAGAATTTTAAATTCATAACGTGGTTATCATGAAACCTTAAAAGAGACACATGTGCGCCATTTACGCAACGAAGAGCTGTGTTGGTAAAAATACCTCCATCTGAGGACTATTTCTGTGAATGTTTGATGATAAAGATTTTAAAAAAAGGACAGTGTATACATATACATTTTCAGGAATGCTTTGTATTATACTTGTCCGGTCCTACAGGTGTTAGGTTTTCAGGAGTTACACTGTACTCTTCAAATCATATTTACTGGATCTATGTCAACAGTAATTTCCATCTTTCAACTGCATATCACTTTTCTTCCTCGCTACACTTGAGCATTAAAAACTAGTAAAAATGTCTTTACAAACATATATACAAAAATGATAACGATTAAAAAATTATTTGATTTCGACAATTATGTAAATGCAGTATAACAAGAATGTAGCGTGACACGTGACTCTCGTTCATTTTCCGTCGACCTGGTGTGCAGAGTTGTCTCCCTTTGAATAAGGTTAGAAAGTAACGACAACTCCGTGAAGGCGTTCGTTTGTACTAACTGCCCCTCTATCATCACGTGTTATCGCATTTCCTGTTTTATCACTCACGTGACTTGCAAACGTCACTGATCTTGTTCTTTCAATGCATTTTCAACAGATTCAGCTTCTTCCTCAAGCCATTTTTCAAACGTTTGATATTCCGGGTTTAATCTTTTAGTCAATTTTATATCACGTGTTATCTGTGCCTTTTGGTAAAATTCGAACATGGCGGCCAATTCTTGTGAACCCGGGAAATCGAATTGTTCAAAATCTTTTATCCTGAGCTAAAATACAAAATACAATGGTGACTTTTAGATATACCGCATGTCAGCAAAAGTGTGTCATTTTAAAAACGAATGACAATGACATTGTATAATCAACAATTGTAAGACGAGCGATGAAAACAATAAAATTACATGAAAATTGCCGCCTTAAAAAGTTCACCTTCTCCAACGTCTACATGAATATTTTAAGGAACTGATTGTTTGATTTTCTTTTTTTTATATAATCTTATCGTTTGTTCGAAAAAACTGTTACCATTTTATACATGCATGTTAAAACTGTATGCATGCATTTTAAAATCTTGCCAAAATGATTTCTTGATTATAAGTCTCTGTAAGAATTGTCTCTTTTCTCCTTTCTTAACTTATTGTCGCTAAGAGATAATAAAAGCGAAAATATCTTTAAATTGGAATATTAAGTTGCATGTTAGACAATGTCAGATGGCGTGTAAAGTAATGCCAGGCATCGTGTAAGGGAATGTCAGATGATGTTTAAGTGAATGTTAAGCGAATGGAATAAGAGAATAAGAGTTGACATGAAATGAAAATGTCAGTACATATGTTAGTAAATGACACGTGATGTGTGTGTGTGAATGTCAGCTGACATGTATGTTGAATGTCAGTTAACGTGTATGTTGAATGTCAGTTGACATGTATGTTGAATGTCAGTTGACATGTATGCTGAATGTCAGCTGACATGTATGTTGAATGTCAGTTGACGTGTATGTTGAATGTCAGTTGACATGTATGTTGAATGTCAGTTGACGTGTATGCTGAATGTCAGTTGACATGTAAGTGAATATTAGGCTACTTTTAAAATTATTTTAAGCGATATGTAATTAAATGTCAAGAAATGTCAGATAAAATTCAAGAGAATGGCATGTCAGGTTACATGTACATGTATTGAAATTACAGTTGATGTAAATGTATGTCAGTTGATGTGTAAGTAAATTTCGGATAAGGGAATGTCAGGCGATATGTAAGGGAATGTCCAGTGTAAGTGGATGTAAGGTGATGGGTAAGGTACTTTAAAATGTAGTTGACAATTCTGTAAGAGAATGGCAGGTGGCATTCTCAAGTATACTTTTTATGAAAACATTAATTGATTTCTTCATTACATATAAACATATATTTGCAAGTTCAAATAAGAATACAAAATATACATTAGATACCAACGATTTAAAGAAAAAGACCATTTTACCTTAGGGTGTACGAATTTCTTATTAAATATGTTTCTCGACAGCGCATGCGCCATTTCCTCAGTGGTAAGTCGGTCACCACCAAATGATAAAGTTTTTCTAGAATAATATCTAGGTCTATAAAATAGTTTCATCACACATTGTCCTACGTCTGTCACTGAGATCATGTCTAAAGGCATATCTTCCATGGGTATTGCTAAAAATAAATAAATAAATCATTTTTAACTAGTTTCACAATAGACCCGGTCCGCATTTATTTATAGAAAGAATGGCCTCTATAACAATTGAGCCCCGCCATGACAAAACCAACGTACTGCATTTGCGACCAGCATGGATCCAGACCAGCCAGCACATCCGCGCAGTCTGATCAGGATCCATACTGTTCGCTATTAGTTTCTCTACTTGAAATATGGTTTGTAAGCGAACAGCATTGGATCCTGCTGGTCTGGATCCATGCTGGTCGCAAACGCACTATGTTGGTTTTGTCGTGACGCGACTCAAATATAATGAAAATATTACAGAGGGGTATTGTGTAGTCCTCAGGCTTTCTTTGTGATCTTTATAGAGCCGTTAAGACTCAAACCAGCGAAAGAGTTAATAAATGCAATAAATAAATAAATAAAATAAAAAAATACAGAACAAAGAAAAGAATTCAATGCGTAATAATTGAAGCGATTGTGCAAAAGTTCTGCAAAAAGTAGTTCCGTGCGATATCAGTGGTGAAACTCGCGCACACATGCTTTTGGGATTTTTTTATGTGTTCTTTTTTAACTTCGAAATATCTATTAAAGAGGCAAATATCTGACAAGCATACACCGCTTAACAATCAGAAAATCTCCAAAACGTCAAGGACCAAATATTTTGATATCTATAAACAAACACGAAACTTTCTTAATAATATAGTTCGATGCATGTTTGAAATACATATAGTTTTGTTATGTGATTGCTACTTACGTATTGCATACACTCCGTGTTTTACTTTGTGTGGTCGAAACACTGTAGTAAAATTCTCATACCAAAATGGTAATCTAATAATCGTATAGTTGACGCCTGAAAAGAAATTAGGAAAAGAAGAAAAATACTTAGTAAAATAGAAATCAAATAAAAACATAGTCATGTACATATAATATATTTTAAGGACCAAAATAAAGAATATTGATCAGACGTTTTCCATTGTATATATATGCACCGGTTATTTTCACCCCCCCCCCCCCCCTGGGGCGTCCGTGGCCGAGTGGTTAAGGTCGTTGACTTCAAATCACTTGCCCCTCACCGCTGTGGGTTCGAATCCAGACAGGGACTTTGGATTCTATTATTTTGTGAGGAAGCTATCCAGCTAGCTTACGGAACGTCGGTGGTTCTACTCAGGTGCCCGTTCGTGCCTGAAATAATGCACGGAAGGGCACCTGAGGTCTTCCTCCACCAGTAAAGCTGGAACGTCGCGATATGACCTATACTGTGTCGATGTGACGTAAAACCCAAAACAAACAAAAATTTTCAATCCCGGTCTCACTCCAGTTTAGTGAGTTAGTGCAGGGGACAGCGGTCACATCGCACACACGTAAGGATAACTAAAACGTAAGGATAACTTAAGGCGATGAAAAGGGGACAGGGCCTTGAAAATACAAAGCTCTAAGTTCTAAACTCTAAATCCCCGATATCGGTTAAAATTGACTGGTACATTAATATATTTTTGGTTGATATGGCTGGTTTATAAAATGCATGCATGCTGTATTCTTGTTTCTTATTTAAAATACATTCATGATATAAATTATTTAAATGTCAATTATGCTGATATGGTGTATTCTTCATGTATATTATATTTTACACCTATTATAGCAACTTCGGTCTTGAAATGTTTCAGATATTGTTATGTTGTACAGTTGTAGTAGAATAAAATGCACGTCTGCCATTTCACTGTACCAACCCGGGCTGGCCAACAAAACCTACTTAACAGTCTTTCGGGTGAGACTTTCAATTGCAGACCCGTGTATGGGAGCTTAAACACCTGACACGCTAAAGAACCCAGGAGAAGCTTCTGGAAAATTGGGGAATCTTTCTGTACCTCTATCTTGCAGTCGTAAATATCTAATACTCTTCTGGAAGACTCGCCCATTTTGGGCAACCGGTGGCGAGTATAAATAAACTCAAATACACACAGAGATTTGAGCCGTGTCACAACAAAATCAACATAGTGGGTTTGCGATCAGCATGGATCCAGACCAGCCTGCGCATCCGCGCAGTCTGATCAGGATCCATGCTGTTCGCTATCAGTTTCTCTACTTGTTATAGGGTTTGAAAGCGAACAGCATGGATCCTGATCAGACTGCGCGGATGCGCAGGCTGGTCTGGATCCATGCTGGTCGCAAACCCATTATGTTGGCTTTGTCATGACGCGGCTCATTCAATAATTTGAGCACCTACCAACTTCTCTAAGGTACTCTTCTATAGCAGCCTTGCTGTCGAGATGACCACAATCTTTACCGATAGTTTTACGGACATTTTCTGACCCATTAAACACAATATGTGTTAGACCTTTATGAACTGCCGCGTCAATTGCATTTAGACCCTGTAAAATATTAAAAGATAGACGTAAATTCACACAAGTCTTGATTAGAGACTAAAGTAACACAGTGGACGGGTACAATTGTTTTAAAAGAGGTAAAATAATAAATTGCTGTGACGAAAATACGATGTTGAAAAGTCGAATGTACGATGATGAAAAGTCGAAATAAAGAAGAAGAAGAAACTCGATGGTAAAACGTTGAAAGTACGATGGTGAAAACACGAAATTATATCGGGTTTTACCATTTTCGACTTTTTATCACCGTACTTTCGTCTTTTCATGATCATACCTTCGGCTTTTCACCTTCGTGGTTTCGTTATATCAACTTTTCACCATCGCATTTTCGTATTTTCGTGTTCGAGTTATATGTGTGTCGCGATGGTTTAACGGGACACCGTAGTTTTTCAGAAGTGAGACCCGTAATATTACTTAAATTAACGTAATTCATAGATATACTGGCATACCTATTGATCACAATCAGACTTGTAATGCATTATGAATATAACATATATATTATCATAATAATTCAAAAAATACAAATGAAAATACACTTTGAGCAATATTTAATGGATTGTAAATAAAACGTTGCTGTAAAAATATGAGCTCGTTAAAATCCGGTATATTTCGTCATTTCCCGTGTTTTTGAGTAAATAAATAGACTAACAAAATCATTCCGATCGAGTGGTAACACAGCTTGACCGCAAGTTCGATCCTCCGTCGGATGTTGGCTGATTTGGATTACTTTTTTGCGTCGTGTTGTCGCTAGCGACAGCACGACAAAGCGTCAAACGGAGCGTTGTCGGACTTTTGTCTTTTCGTACTGTCGCTAACGATGCCCGCCAAGCACGTTGTCGTGCGGCGTGTTTTCACGATTGTCACATTGTCGCTCGGCTCAAATCGAAGGATTGGCTATTTGTATATATGTATAAGCCAAGCGATAGGGCGACATCGCGACAACGCGCCGAACGACACCGCGCCGTTTGCGTGCTTCGCTAGCGACATGACAACAAGACGACAGTGCGAAAACGCGCCGAAAAGGCAATAACGATGTAGGTTGTGTTGTCGCTATCGACAAAGCAACGCGCAAAGTGCACCAAATCAGTCACAATAGATAAAAAAAATTATAAAACTTTTTTTCGGAACAGACTGTAAACTCACGTTCCCATACCTTTAAAATGTGTTTGTAAAAAGACCAGTTGTATCAAAGGGAAAAAATCTATAAAAGTTGCATTATCCTCTATATAAAAAAACAACCCACTGGGATAAAGCTGATAAATGAGAGATTCTGTGGAAGCAATGAAAAGTATATATAAATTGCAGACTCGGATTGTATTGATACATCAAATGTGTGCAACAACTCTCACGGCCCCTAGTCGCCTCTATGTGTTTCCGGTTGCGTCTTTAAATAACAGCAGATCACAAACACTGGGACTCTGTATCATAATCAGCATTATTGTTATAAATCTGTTAATCTGTCTCCACAAACGCTATATAACTACAAATTCGTTAATCCGTTATTTAAAGCCAATAGATATAGGGAAAAAATCCGTGTCTAACAACGTTCGCCAAATCCACGATGGAATTGTGCTGACATCTTGAAGTAGTTTCTGTGACATATTTATTTCCCATTTCATGAGAGCACCCAATTGACAGGTAATCTTGTAACGAATTAAGGTATAATACATGTTTGAAGGTAATACATATGTGTATGTAATACATGTTTGTATGTAATACATGTGTATAGGTATTATATTGTGTATGTAATACGTATGTGCATGTAATATATGCGTGTATGTAATACATATGTGTGATATATGCATGTGTGTAGGTTATATATGTGTGTATGTAATACATATGTGTATGTAATACATGTGTATAGGTAATATACATTTATAATATGTAATATATATGTGTATGTAATATATGTGTGTAGGTTATACATATGTGTATGTAATACATGTGTATAGGTAATATACATGTATAATATGTAATACATATGTGTAATTAAACATACCCTGACAATTTCTTTCTCCTTGTTCTTGTCTTCCCAATAATGAGTGGTAAGGAACATGGAATCAGCGCCATCTAGCGCCTTTTCTAAACTCGCGATGTCATTCTGGTTGGCTGTGACGATGACAGCTCCTGTAGGGAAGATACAAAAAGGGACGATGTTAAATCAAAACACGAAATGGGACGATATTGAGTTAAAAACGGGACAGATATTAAAGTGGGGGCAATTCAAATGTTAAAATATGTACCCAATTAAAGATATGAAATGAAAGAATGCATTAAAATGGGCTGATGATTATGTAAAACTATGAAAAAAGTTAATTAAAGATTTAAAAAGGCCAATGTTTTTGTAAAGATATGAAATGGAAAAATGATTAATCAACTATTATAAAATATGGCATTTATTAATCAAAGATAGAAAATCGTAGTATGCTTAATCAAAGATATGAAATGGGACGGTGTAATAATTATTAAGATATCATGAATCTGTGAAAACATAAATAATGGAAATTCAAGGTTTGTTTTTGTATATGGCACAGTGGTCCTACGGGAAGAATTGCAGGAAAGAATATCCATAATTAAACACATTATTAGGAACTGATTACTGGGTATACATATTGAATGAGTGTAATAACTACTTTTGTCTTTTTGTTTACCGTTGGGTCTTCTTGAATGCTTTGATTCTCTTTCTTTGCAAGAGTTACAAAGTTCTTCTTAGTGCATATCCTTTCCGGGAAAAACAAACAAATAGGTTAATTACCAACTGGGGTATTTAGGTCTTATAGTGCTATCTTATTGTGTTCATTGTGGACATGGGTGTATATTAGGTAGCACACCACACAAATTGAGGTCACAGCGAGGATGTCATAGTTAAAGTAGCTGTAAGGGATTTTAAATAACTGGTTTTCTTTTTAAAAATGTATTTTAGCATCAAAATTCATCTTTTGTATGACTTGAACACTTGCAAGTTCGAAAACCTGGCCACAAATCACAAATGTTGTTTCAGGCCTCGGACCACAGTAGATTTTGGATTCAACGGAATGAATCGCAGCGTTTTGAATCGCCTAACAAATATGAATGGCATAATGTCATTATAAAATTTCAATGTTATAACATATATGTTCACAACGTAATGCTTGTAACACATTGACGTTGTTTTTCATGCAAACATATAAACGCTGCAGTGACGGTTTGATTTTTTAGCAGACGACAAATCAATCGTTATTCCCTATCTTACCAATATAATGTAATATAATTATATATTTCATTCAACTTGAATTTTACATACAATTTATAGTCATACAGTTTAAATATACTATAAAGATGCAGTTAATAAAAATATTTTAGCAAAACAAGTAGAAAAAAATAGATCTTTACAATTTTGTTGTTGACGAACACAGTTAAGGTTGTTAAAAGACATTTTATATGTTTCCAAAACGCAATAATAAAAATAATAATAATAATAATAATAATAATAATAATAATAATGATTAAAATAATGATATGTAATGAAATAATGATAATAATTGTTATTAAGTTATCATCATCATCATCATCATCATCATCATCATCATCATCATCATCATTATTATTATTATTATCATTATTATTATTACAATCATACTGGAAAATGGGCACCATATCTCATTCACGTGACATCTGCCACGAGTTTATGTCAATGATCATAACTTACTTTTCTGTTGCTATGTATTTGTAAACAAATTAGCAAATAATTACACGTCTGTCTTAAGGGCACTATATATTAAAACTTATGAATATTTAATGTATAGTTATTAGCATATTAACACGTTTATACTGAATGAGGACCGAAACGTAATCTTGAGCTATCTTATTTTCAAAAATGTCTACAGTGCAACCTTTATATATTGGCCATCTACAGACCAATAATCTTTCTTAAACAAGAGTTTCAATTCTTCAAAAAGTAAGACATCAGAATAAGTCTATTCTCTATAAAGCAACATATCTTAGCAACAACCAAAGTCTCTATCCCACAAAGGATGTTGTTCTGTGGTTTATATATTTTATACCTCAAATAAAATTATTGTGCTAGCAAGAATTCCACTTTCTTGTCAGATATTACTTCATTACTTCAAAACTTGAAACTCTAAAACAGTCATATTGGACGAAAAAAAGAATGCAAAAGACACTGCTTTCGGCAAATGAACGCTATATTTTGTCCCTGGTGAAGAGTGCAAATTTGTGTCATTTTCAGAATATACTTATTTGAGAGAGATTCATAATGAAAAAGACAAAACATGCCCCTCAAAATTTAAACCAATTCTTAAAAATGATATTACCCGGAAACACGACAAGAATATGGTGTGGGTGGAACAGGGAGAACACGCATTTACCATAACGTTGACAGAATGTTAAATACTAACCTTCTTCCGCCAACTTTCTTGCTTTTTCGCTCGAGGGACGTCTTGTCACGGCTCGAACTCTAAACCGTAATGGATCTTCTAATAAGGCTCGAGCCACAGACCCACCAAGTTGTCCAGTCGCCCCGAACACGACAACGGTTCTTGGCTCGTCATCCGGGAACTCTTTGCTTGACCCACAACCCATCCTGTAATATATAGAAATTGATTTTGTTTTTCGTAAATAAGCATAATGTAATTACCCGAACCATTAAAGACACACCTTGAATTAGTTAAACAAAGCTTAAATCGGCAGTGTTTTCAAATTACTCCCTCCCTCACCGCTGTGGTTCGAATCCCGTCAGCTTCTATGGAATTTTCCTCATGTGAGGGCGCTGTCCACCTAACTTAAGGACGTTAATGAGGTTCTACTCAGGTGTCCAACGTGTTTCCCTCCACCAATACAGCTGAAAAGTCGCTATTTAAAGTGAATAGTTTGGCTGTTGCTTTCTACAAATAATTTTGTACAAATAAATTTTTAAAATTTTCTATTTATAAGTAGTTACAAAACCGCTTTGATTAATCATAAAAGAAAGACACCGGAACATTTCTGTATGATTTGATTTACACCTGTCGTAAAGTAACTAAGCGTACCTTGAACAAATGTGAAGAAATCGTTCCATAGATTCCATTGTTAATATAATATGTAACTAGAAATAAACTAATGCAAACACTTCATGTGTTTGAGTCACAGGAACATTAAATGTACTAGTATATAGAATATCTGTTTCACGTGCAATATGATTATTGATAACCCACTATCTATTCTATACATTTAACACAATTCACACGTGCAATAAAAAGAACATTGCTGTTAAAGACTATACAAAATATTAGATTTTTTGTGGGACACTAATTGGGTATTTAATTGAACGAACATGTCTGGATGGGGACTGGCTATTTTGTACCAGTCTGCACGTGTCAGTGGCTCGGAATATAAACATAAAGCTCTTAGACAGATTATTATGACAATATACATGCTACGATAGAGACAGAATGCGAAAATTTTCTGTCAATAAGCACATAGGAGAAAAGCTTTCAAGGGGATATACAGCATGCCATATTATATGAGACGATTATGCAACGATCTTTATTTGTTACCGTGAACTATATGCACTGACATTTTTCTTGCAAAACAATCATCTTCTTAGAAAAAAATCTTAGAATTGTCACTTAAGTAAATGCGTTTACTGCTGTAAATAACGAAAACATGGATATTTCTATTTCATCGTAATACCTACCAATGTGAAATGTACTGACATAATTAAAGGCCCATTATACCCTAGAAATTAATTTTTATTTCCCAAAAGCTTCTTATTTCTTGTGTACTGATCAATATGGTTTCCAAAAGGTTACTCATTGATGAATTATCTGAACCCTTATTTTTCTTCTGTTGCCTTTTGGTGATGAGTACAGTTATAGTGATTAAGTCTTTTGTATGGAACTCAAAATACTACTTTGTTTACATTTTGCTACATTTAAGACAATAACTGTCACATTCAGCACTATTTTCTCTTTTTGATAACCATATAATTTGATAACATATATAAAATTCATGATTGTCCGTTTAAAAAGGGGGGGGGGTGACAATTATTCGTTTCTGAGGCATAATGTGCCTTTAAAGAATTTGCACGCGTCATGACAAAACCAACGTAGTGCGTTTGCGACCAGCATGGATCCAGACCAGCCTGCGCATCCGCATAGTCTGATCAGGATCCATACTGTTCGCTTACAAAGTATATAACAAGTATAGAAACTGATAGCGAACAGCATGGATCCTGATCAGACTGCGCGGATGCGCAGGCTGGTCTGGATCCATGCTGGTCGCACACCCATTATGTTGGTTTTGTCGTGACATGGGTCAATTATATGATTGTGTTACTACATGTACTTCAAAATACTATATCTCGTTCTTTTCTTAAAACTAGTGCCAAATCCTTTCGCCTTTTATTATTTAGTAAGCACCTTTGTTTTGGTGTATATTTACATGTACGTGTAAAGTGTGATTAAATTAAAGCCACAAAGGAGAAAGAAAGAAAAAACAATGTCAGACGTTTCTTGTCAAACTTAAATATATGTACATTTGAATATGGAACTAAATTTTTGTGTACCGTTATTCACATTATGTTCCGTGTAGAAAGCTTGACACTTTTATTCGCTTAACGAAATTCGAGTTATTCTTTCACAATGTTTTTTTTGTTTTTTTTTTAATAGAGAAGTTGTCAGAAGATTGCGGAGACAGCCCTATTAGATACCAGTACAACATACTGTTGCGTACTGACACACTGATGATATGCCACTGTTATAACCAGCAAACACAAATTGAAAAGGAAATAGAAAGTATGTATATGTTTATTCGTATACACTTTGCACTAGGAGACGGTTCTGATACCTGTATACACCGGCTGACATTTAGATTTTAGATTTTGTAAGTTTGGAAGGTGAAGGAATTTCTTACCTGTATTTGTCGTCTTGACTACGTCCGTAGCAACCAAACATTACCCATAGTAACGAAATACAGTTTGATTAAACATTTTATTCCATTTTATTCAATAACTCGTGTCAACGTCCCAAAACGATTTTAAAAATCCAATTCTCCCTGAACTACGATCGTTCCACACCAGAAATGTCAGTCAAACAAGCGATCGAAGAGCACAGTAAATCAATTTCCAGTTACACGCGAACGGGACAGTATCGTAATTATTCTATGTCAAAATTTGTATGTAAATTATCTTATATAAAGTGTACGGACTTTTAATAAGTCTGGAATGCAACTTGATATGTAAAATATCTGATCAAACATTTATCCCGCATTGTTATATACTGTTTTGAAGTAACTAGCGAATACGACAAAAATAGAGAGCATTCCGAAGCATACTGGATTAACTATAGTGAATAAAGATCTGTGTTTAAAGCGTTTTACGCCTATATAATTTCCAATAGATCAATAATGTCTTTATGTATTCGGGGTATTAACTAAAGTAAATCTACCCGTACTCGTTAATAGCATTAAATCTCCAGTTATTGGATAAATACAAGGGAGATAATTATAAGCTGTTATTGCGATTTTTAACATAATGGTCTAAGCGAGACAACTCTGATTTGATCACGCGTAACGGTAATAAGTAAAATTTAATTTTTTAAGTAATTGAAAAGTTGGTGAGTGAACAATTAATATCAGCTGAGTGTTATATTCAATTGTTCATGTGCACAAAAAGGTCACGTGCGTGTGTTTTCAAATGCGCATTTTTTTCAAATCATTTCCAAATATCAAGCTGGAATTATAACTCAAAACTATGTAATGAAAAACGATGATAATAAATTCTAAATAATTTCATTTAAACTTTATATCGTTTCCCTACCAAACAATTAGGCTATTTTTTAAATGTTTGTTCATGTTTGATCCGGAGAGTAAGGTTAAGGACTCTATCTACACTTAACATTTTCGTCTAGTCCGTATTACTAATCCCTTAATATCAAATCGTTACACACATTCTAATCCGTGTAAGATTTAACCCTCAGACCGCAGAACCTGCCGATTTCACATATCATTTGCTCCACAAAAAAGCTTTTTTTCCCCGCCATCTATTATATTGTCATCATCATATGTGTAAACTTTTATTATTTGTCTCTTCTGGCAGTCGATGCATATGTCGCGGGTCAGCTCAACCAGGTAGGCAGTGAGTCCATGAAGTTGGCACAGAGATCGACATTAAACATTCAGCTCGACATTCGATTTATCACTGTTGAGCTTGTATGGGAAGCTGGCAAGACATTCAGCAGAACATTCAGCTCGAAATTCGATTTATCACTGTTGAGCTGGGATGTGAAGCTAGCTAGACATTCAGCACAACAATCAACTCGACATTCGTTTCTTATATTCTTTTTGAATGTCGAGCTGGGATGTGAAGCTGGCTAGACATTCAGCACAACATTCAGCTCGACATTCTTTTCATGCCTTTTTTTGAAATGTCGATATGGGATGTGGAGCTGGCTAGACATTCAGCACAACATTCAGCTCGACACTCATTTTTAGTCTATTTTTGAATGTCGAGCTGGGATGTGAAGCTGGCTAGACATTCAGCACAACATTCAGCTCGACATTCGTTTTTTGTCTATTTTTGAATGTTGAGCTGGGATGTGAAGCTGGCTAGACATTCAGCACAACATTCAGCTCGACATTCGTTTTTTGTCCATTTTTGAATGTTGTGCTGGGACGTGAAGGTGGCTAGACATTCAGCACAACATTCAGCTCGACATTCGTTTTTTGTCTATTTTTGAATGTTGTGCTGGGATGTGAAGCTGGCTAGACATTCAGCACAACATTCAGCTCGACAATCGTATTTTGTCTATTTTTGAATGTTGTGCTGGGATGTGAAGCTGGCTAGACATTCAGCACAACATTCAGCTCGACATTCGTTTTTTTCTATTTTTAAATGTCGAGCTGGGATGTGAAGCTGGCTAGACATTCAGCACAACATTCAGCTCGACATTCGTATTTTGTCTATTTTTTGAATGTTGTGCTGGGATGTAAAGCTGGCTAGACATTCAGCACAGCTGAATTTTGTGCTGAATGTCTAGCCAGCTTCACATCCCAGCTCGACATTCAAAAAGAATATAAGAAATGAATGTCGAGCTGAATGTTGTGCTGAATGTCTAGCCGGCTTCACATCCAAGCACAACATTAAAAAAATAGACAAAATACGAATGTCGAGCTGAATGTTGTGCTGAATGTCTAGCCAGCTTCACATGCCAGCTCAACATTCAAAAATATACAAAAAAACGAATGTCGAGCTGAATGTTGTGCTGAATGTCTAGCCAGCTTCACATCCCAGCTCAACATTCAAAAATAGACAAAAAACGAATGTCGAGCTGAATGTTGTGCTGAATGTCTAGCCAGCTTCACATTCCAGCTCGACATTCAAAAATAGACAAAAAAAACGAATGTCAAGCTGAATGTTGTGCTGAATGTCTAGCCAGCTTCACATGCCAGCTCAACATTCAAAAATATACAAAAAAACGAATGTCGAGCTGAATGTTGTGCTGAATGTCTAGCCAGCTTCACATCCCAGCTCAACATTCAAAGATAGACTAAAAACGAATGTCGAGCTGAATGTTGTGCTGAATGTCTAGCCAGCTTCACATTCCAGCTCGACATTCAAAAAGAATATAAGAAACGAATGTCGAGCTGAATGTTGTGCTGAATGTCTAGCCATCTTCACATCGCAGCTCAACATTCAAAAATAGAAAAAAATGAATGTCGAGCCGAATGTTGTGCTGAATGTCTAGCCAGCTTCACATCCCAGCTCAACATTAAAAAAAGACAAAAAACGAATGTCGAGCTTAATGTTGTGCTGAATGTCTAGCCAGCTCCACATTCCAGCTCGACATTCAAAACTTTACAAAAAACGAATGTCGAGCTGAATGTTGTGCTGAATGTCTAGCCAGCTTCACATCCCAGCTCAACATTCAAAAATAGACAAAAAACGAATGTCGAGCTAAATGTTGTGCTGAATGTCTAGCCAGCTTCACATCCCAGCTCTTCATTCAAAAAATAGACAAAATACGAATGTCGAGCTGAATGTTGTGCTGAATGTCTAGCCAGCTTCACATCCAAGCACAACATTAAAAAAATAGACAAAATACGAATGTCGAGCTGAATGTTGTGCTGAATGTCTAGCCAGCTTCACATCCAAGCACAACATTAAAAAAAATAGACAAAATACGAATGTCGAGCTGAATGTTGTGCTGAATGTCTAGCCAGCTTCACATTCCAGCTCGACATTCAAAAATTGACAAAAAACGAATGTCGAGCTGAATGTTGTGCTGAATGTCTAGCCAGCTTCACATCCCAGCTCAACATTCAAAAAAAGACAAAAAACGAATGTCGAGCTGAATGTTGTGCTGAATGTCTAGCCAGCTTCACATCCCAGCTCGACATTCAAAAAAAATATAAGAAACGAATGTCGAGCTGAATGTTGTGCTGAATGTCTAGCTATCTTTACATCCCAGCTCAACAGTGATAAATCGAATGTCGAGCTGAATGTTCTGCTGAATGTCTTGCCAGCTTCCCATACAAGCTCAACAGTGATAAATCGAATGTCGAGCTGAATGTTTAATGTCGATCTCTGTGCCAACTTCATGGACTTGTAGGCAGTATCAATTCGATTTTTGGGTCGAAGTGAATACTAACGCAACGTTGTCCCTTGCTCACCGTTAGGAACCAAAATGAGAAGTGGGACTCGGAGCAAAAACTTTATCTTAAAGATTTTTAAATCATATCTTAACTATGCTCAGACATTACCGGAATAAATTCTTAAAGTAGTATGCGACCATCAGATTCATGTTAATAATAATGAATATTTTGAATTTTTGAAAATGTATTTGAAAGTAAAATATGATGAGGTGAACAGGAAAGTAATTTACACACTGCAAAAGGTGCTTGCAAGCCATGTAAATTACCAAAAGAGTATTCAAAATATGCACTCACGCAGTAGAAATATGGTAATAAGTACTGCAAAATCAATCTTTAGTTGCATATAACATGTAAATCATCACTTAAATATTGAATCTTTTACTTTCCTCAACATGCTTACTACATTTTTCTCAATTTTGATTATTTGAAATATTGAGGCTCATCTGGAGGCAGGCAGTTATAAGTATTTAACATGTGGACTCACTGTACAAAGATAGACCACAACTTTGTCAAGGTCTAATGTTTTAAAGCAAAAACGTTTCTGGCTGAAACAATGCCTTAAAATATGGCAGTAGCCAGTAAGATAAATGGAATTAGCCAGCAAGTACGTAGTATACAGTCACTGAAGCAGTTGTCTCCCTTGCTCTTCATTTGTAACTTGAGTTACATTTCAGAAAATGCATTAAATCGCATCTCCACGGCCCTTTTCGTCAAATTTGGATCCTCGAGGTGTGCTTAGTATTATTATACGTGTACAAGAGAAGAAAATGCAACTTAAAGGCTCGTTGTGTTGAAATGCTTTTATTTATATTTCTTAAAAGATTTTTAATTTTGGCGTTCTTTTATAGTATTCAAAGATTAACTCATTTTTCAATGCCTGAACCAACTTTTTCATCTGTTACTTTTTGGCAATAAGTACAGTTTGGAATAAAAAAGGTTTGGGAAACTTTCTTTTTGAAACTTTCAAAAATTAAAAATCGTATATCCCCAGGCGTTAACTGACAATTATTTACATTAAACATTTGCCCTTGATTTTGGTTTTTATTCGGGTTACTTATGTCTACGAAAGGAAAAGAGACAGAAATTTTAAATTTTTAAAATTTATTACAGGAGTAACAGAAAAGTCATAGCACAATGTAAAAATCAGAAAGACAGATCAAGGAATAGAAAATGCATATAATCAAATCTGAAAGCAAATGAACGATAGATAAATTATGTGTAATGTTAATTTATGAAATATTGTAACCTTTCAGTGAGATATAATCAATATCCCTCACTGAACTGTATATCATTTACTGTAAATTAGTCATAATATTTCACTCACTGTACATCAGTCACTATATATCACTCACTGTTCACCATTCACCATATATCACTCACTGTACATCATTTACTATGCATCACTCACTCTACACCAGTCAGTCACTTTATATCACTCACTGTTCGCCTGTTACTACATATCACTCGCCGTTCACCAGTCACTATATATCACTCCCTGTACACCAGTCACTATATATCACTCACTGTACACCAGTCACTATATATCACTCACTGTTCGCCTGTTACTATATATCACTCGCCGTTCACCAGTCACTATATATCACTCCCTGTACACCAGTCACTATATATCACTCACTGTACACCAGTCACTATATATCACTCCTTCTCCACCAGTCACTTTATATCACTCACTGTACACCAGTCACTATATATTACTCACTGTATATTACACACTATAAAGCATTTTTTAGGAAAAAACTAATTACAGTATTTCATCAATTAGTACTAAATGAAACGAATATTTTATAAATTTACATGCAAACAGTTATACTTTAGAGTCAACACGTTAAAATCCGTTACACTTACATGGAACATACTCTTATAAGTCATAAACGTATATCTAACCGTGAGATATATTCTATATTCTCACTACAAATAGATATGTTCTTTATAATATTAATGACGCTAATGAAAACGCCTGCTATCATCAAGTGTGATATGCATTAGCAATAGAAGTAAACAAAACAAAATGATAAATATGTGAAATGACAAAAATATTGTTCATAAATCAAATTATGTACAAGTAAAACCATAAACCTATTTCAAAAGCTTCTTTACATATTCATGTTTATAAAATAAAAAAAGTCAGACATTGATGGTGTTAACGCAGTCATGTGTAAGTACATACATTTCTTTCTTATTTTGCCAGACACTGTACATTTACCATTTTATTCGCACCGTCCATATGCTGAAAGATTTCTAATCAGCAAAAAAAATTGAGAGAAAAAACTTAGTTTCCGTTTCTCAGAATCAAAATAAACATGTGGACAGTTGTTACACTCTGTCCTTATCTTGAATAGTCACAGAAAGTGCAGAAACGACGAATTCAAGTTTGATGTATTACCTTAAATATGCATATAACAAATGCTGTAATACTTAATTTTGAGTGATTACATGCCCCCTATACATTAACCTGACAGTGGTTAGTATGATAAAAACAAAATGTACAGGTCACAAAATGCCAAAACATCATATATCAAGGTGCATGTAACAAAAGATAACAAATTTCTGTACAAAAAACAAGTGTTGACATTTCAGTGAAACAGAAAACAACAATATTTTGAGACAATTTTTGCATTAACGTATTTACATTTCTCGTGTTTTTTTATCACAAAAAAGCAAAGATTTTTCATCAGTCCAAAAATATGAATAAATTTAAGAATATCACCTATCAAAATGACATAGATGAAGTAAATAATGTATGAATGAATATTGCATAGCTTTTTTATGGAAACTCGTGTTCATCTAAAGTTTGCCTTGAAAGAGCTAAAGTCGTTTCTACCATTTTATCATTCTCTTCAAGCAGTGTGTCAGATATTTCGCTGTGAAATAACCATTTATTTTAAACCTTTATTCCATCTTTATTTGTTCGCTGTTTTATAGGACATTCCATATTCCATGTTTTAAGTTGAATTTTGTGTCATTTTTCTTCTAATGGCAACCACACGCTTTAACTTTCATATTTGGATATCTTTTTAAAACAACATTTGATTTTTCGTCGAAGAATAAAACTTGAATGGCCGACAGCTTGGTCGGCGCGCAGCATGGTTTTGGAACTACATAAGGTTTCGTTAGATGGACAAGCGTCTGCACGATCGCGTGATTTGTAGCGTTCATGTGCGCCCCTAGCGGGAAAGTGCATTCGCCACCACAGTAAAATGCTGGGTATCCTTCAGGGGCGATAATCCAGTCCTGAAAAAATTGAAAAGCGAATTGATATAATTTTAAAATTAGCCCACTTAAACGATGATTTGTAATATCATAATGTCCTCGATCCGCATTGGTATTGGAACTGTTTCGTATTAATTTAGGAGATGCTTAATGTAACATGCCGATCATCCACCAGTGTATATCTAGTGTTATGTTCGGCTATACAGAAAAGCGATGATACATCGAGATAAACAAGATTTGTACATTTAATGTTAAGCAGTTTCATTATCAGAAAAAACAAGACTTTGATGACATATTAATGCAACGGTTTTAAAAATTAGGCAAAACAAAATATAATTGATAACATGCTTAGGTCGGTTAATGGAGAACAAAAGTCTCTAGTGAAAGTTTGTGTTTACTTTAGCTCACTTTATAAATAATGTCGAATTATGACATTAAAGCTCTATGGTAGAGGCAGACAGTCGGGTGCCGGCACTAGCATGCAACCAAGTAGAGCCAGTGACCTTTTTTACGAAAGCTAGTCGACCAGATTTCTAACAAGGACGAATTCAAAGCCTCTGGCTGGATTCGAACCCATAACGGCGAATAGTGAATAAATGGATGGTCAATGACCTTGACCATTTGGTTCCAAATTCCTCTATATAACGAAACGTTAGATTTTCATTCTCAAAAGATTATCTATATTGGCTAAGTCTTTAAGTTAAACCACTTATCTACCAGAAAATATTGATTTTGCCATGATAAAAATCGAGGCCTTTTTCTACTTGCAAAGCAGTGATTAACAGTTTAACCATAAAATAAGTGGAAAGGCTTAAAACAGGAATCAAAACACTTTTATTAAAAGCTTTACTATTTCCATGGATCAGACCACCATCGTATTCACATTAATAAGCAAAACTTCATAGATGAGATTGGATGCTTACTTATTTTAAAGGAAGATTAAAGAGGCCGATGTTGTTTTTTTCTTTGGCAGCGGATTAACTGATAATTGTTGTTAATGTGATATATCAAAAAGCCAGACATATTTATTACACCTGTTTTCTCGTAAATAAAAGCTGGGGTTGTATGAAAAAACAATTTTATCTTAAAGTAGTAAGGAAAATAGGGCATACATTTCTGAGATACTCATTTCATCAATTAAAATCCAGGCATGAATGTTGTTGGGGAAAAAGCTGTTTCACTAACAAATTAACAAAACTTGAAAATATAGCAAGTATTCACTACCTAGCTTGTAAATAACACTATACGACAGTTATTAAACCGTCCTAACGACCTTAAAATCTTCTAATTGAGTGACTGAAACGGTGACATCAACATTTCAGAGTGGTTAGGTTAGAATCCAACCATAGCATCATGTTTATAAAGTTACTTGCAGAATGTACCCTGGTTACCATTCTTGAGTCCGTCCCTGCTAATTAGCAGTATAATGGAACGCACGAAACCACCTTTCACCGATTAAAGCTTTAGTCACAATATGACACGAAAAGGGGACCAGCCCATCTTGACCCAAATCCAAGAATGAAGAATATTGTAATCACAGAGTTCCAAAATACATAACAACTCTATTTTATGGTTCAAGGCTAATTTATATCCAATAAACAGAAATTGGGAAACCACGTTTCTTTATATTATTTATTCTTTGAAGAGAATGATGTAAACAGACCTACCTGCCAGCCTAAACTTTTAAAACTAACATATAATGTATGTCTTTGGCATGCACTTTTTCTGTAGTCCATTGCTGCAAGACATAAACATATTTCCATAGATTAATGCGCCAAACAGGTGCAGGCCGCTTTCACTGCCGATTTACTGTTTGTTTCATACACCAGGTGTATTTAACTTTTTTTCCATATAATTATAAAGTGAACATTAATCATGTGGAGAATGCATAAAGGACATAATGAATGAAAGATAATATAATGTAAACATTATAAAGACCTCATGAAAAACTTTTCAGTTAACAAAACTATACATTAGGATAATATATACATATATACATTGCAATTTTATTACATAGTCATTTTTCAGGAAACATATTCAGAGACAAAATGACGGCCAGGCATTACGCTGCCTTAGTTTATTCTAAACTAATTTTATTAAAACTTTATTTAAGACTTTCGGGTAAAGTTTAATGATTTCATGAAACTTACAATAACTATCCGCTCCTTTTCCCCAGTAATAGTAATTTTCAGCCTCGTTTGGAGTACTGTTTTCTGATTGGTCGGCGGATCTCCGATGACGTAAATTTAATTCACCCCGCGCCATTTTGAAAAATCCAACGAGGAACGCTTGTTTGTCGTCTGGTCCCCTATGCCCTATAATACCAACTTTACCAGGGTCTATGACACGGTTATCTGAAAAATTTCAAGGGTTCGTTTTCAAAACAAATCTATAAAAATGGTGACAGATAAATTTATTGTGTTTTCACAGTATAAAAGCAAGTTTTCTTCCTGTTATCGCAAGAAAAGTTAAAGTTGAAATGGATAGGATCCCAGATCAAAAGTAACACGTGCTTGTAATCGCAAGACAGGGTACACAATGATTTTATAGGATTGCAAGAAAGGGTGAGGTCATTTATCTACCTTGTTTCTTTTTCTCACCTTGGCAATAGAAACTGATTCTGGTGTATGACGTGTACAAAGCCCACGAACAGCTATACCAAATGCTTTTTTTTTAAAGAAATATTTTAAAGACGTCGACTGTAAAAATAATTATTAGGCACAGGTATGAACATTTACCAAACCTACACCTACCTTTTGCTAATACTGTAACTTTCATATATAGACCAAGGTTCATGTAAGGTAGATATGTCCACAGATAGACTGCCCTGGTTACGTTAAAGTTGATCCAACCCTCATAGTCCCAGGGCACCGTCATGTTCGCTTCCGGTTCAAGACTCTTGTCCCTACAATAATAGTTAAGTTTCAAATTATTCATCAAGTTCTTGTGTTTAGTCTACTAGTAACCGTTATCTAGCTAGCGACAAAAATGACCGACTTTTACCACCATTAAAGAGTCACGCCAGTCTGCACATCCGTCTGACCAGACTCTATACTGCTGGCGGACTTTTTTCATATATTTATTTGTATGTCATTTTCATTACATGACATGTTCAGACAAGAACAGAGAAGTTACAAACGCTCAGGTTGACCTTAAATACTGCCACCAAGACAATCTGAAATAGCGCTTATCTACACAGAATCCATCATTAAATATTAAAAGATCGACCAGTATTGTGAGTATTATTATATATACAGTTTTTCTTCTTAAAGTCTTCATGAAAAATGTGCACTCATCTGAGGAAGTGTAACTTAAAGCATATGATTGGTAAACATTGTGCGATCTAAAATTGTTTAAGTTTAAAATGAAAAAGGTCTACAAGCCAGTACGGAAAAGTGAGCTTGACGTTTATGCAAGTCAATTTTGATTAAAAGAAACTGGAAAGTTTGACCGAAAGTTGATTCGAAACTCTTTTCGAAAGTTGAAAAGAAGTTACATATTTATAGAACTGAAGCTCGTGGCTAAGTTTAAAAGATAATCCTAGGATTTCAGGAAATTGCGTACCCCAGTGAAAAAATATGTTGTAAATCAGATAATTTAAACATATCATTTTATCGAATATTTCAAAAGAAACCGAATTCCACCAATTTTGTAATCATAACTTTTTAAAGTTCTTACTCTGGATCCTGGCCCTGTGTTATTCGGAATATTTCTATCAATACATTGGAATCTCTGGACTTTTTAGCCTCCTTGTAAAGCCGGAACTCAGCTCCCATAACGAGTTCTGCCGTTGAAATGTCGCTTGTATCAAAGTAAAATGTCGCATCTTTATCGTGACGTAGATGTGGAATTTTATCCGCTGTATAGCAAAATAAAAAGAGAAAATGCGTTATAAGGTATATTTTATAATCGTATCCGAGGAGACTTGTTACATGCATACTGAATTGTTAACATGAATCATTATCGGATGTCATAAATGACGCCGAAGGTAACCTTCATTTATCTCTACTTCTATCTTGTACAGAGTTTGGTTTCATTATGCTAGAAAAATATGTTTCGATATAAGCATCTAATATTTAGTCACATGAAGTGGATCTCTCTGTGTTATTTTCATTAACCCATAATTATCTTAAATTGACTTGTTCATCTTTAAATCTGGACAAACCCAACAATTTTTAATAAAGCCAAATTTCAATATAATTACTGACTGAATAGCGGACGTGTCAGTTGATCTTGGTCTTTATTGACCAAACTGTTGTCGGCAGGCTAAAGGTTTATTGCATAATTAACTATTAATTTAAAGCAGATGACTTCCAAGTTACTATTAAAAACCTCATGAAGAGATGTCACTTAAAGCCGACATTTTTAAAATGAACAATGAAAACACAATACGATTTTAACAGCATAATAACACTGTCAAAAGAAAGAATTAAAAGGAAAAGGGAAAAAACTTAAGTAAAAACCCAGAAACGTAGAAGTAGCAATTTGAAAAAAAAAAAAAAAAAAAAAATTGGTAACACCCCAGAGGAAAAGTGGGAAACCCCTTTTAAAACCCAGATTTTTTAAAAATAAAACCCCAAGGTTTAAAAAAACCAAAAACCCAGTTACTTAAATAAAAAAATAAAATGTTATTTTTGTAAAAAAAAAAAATAAAAATTGAAGAAAAAAATGAAGATATACAATGACGATTAACTTTTACCAACAACGCATTAATGTCTGCTTCTTCAAGGAGATCTACACTCAATGACTTCTGACTATATAATCATCCTAATTGATGTTTTATCCAAACATTTTAGAACATCTGCCTACAAACCCATTATCTTGTTAGTGTATCGTGGTAACAAACATTAGCCGGAAAGATTCAAACCGTGTCTGATGCTTTAGTCATTATATGAGCCGCGTCACGACAAAACCAACATAATGGGTTTGCGACCAGCATGGATCCAGACCAGTCTGCGCATCCGCGTAGTCTGATAAGGATCCATGCTGTTCGCTATCAGTTTCTCTACTTGTTAATATAGAATTTGTAAGCGAACAGCATGAATCCTGATCAGACTGCGCGGATGCGCAGGCTGGTCTGGATCCATGCTGGTCGCAAACGCAATAAGTTGGTTTTGTCTCGACACGGCTCAAATGTATTTGAATATGATTGTATGATATCAAATTTTAATGTTCAATTTAAAGTTATTTTAGGGACTAATTTATGGTTCAAAATTTAACAAATGTATAACTATAATATAAGGTATTGATTAGGAAAATAATTGTGTAGAAAAGCATAATAAAAAAAATATCATATATATTTAGTCACATACAATACACGTAAGTCGTTACATTCATTTAATTCTAATAGCTATAATTATGAATAGTCAGAAAAAAGGTTAGTTTTAAAGGGACTCTACTGGGTTGTTTTTTTTACATGACGGGACTGAAAACACTTTTCGCAATTGGAACTCAAATCCTGCAAATAATCGCTTAGAAATCTATTTACAATATAATTCTGAGTATATTTCTTTGTCACCATTTGCAGTTTTTTTTCCAATCTAGATATTTGTTAATATTTTCAAATTTCATGTGACCTCAGTAGAGTTCCTTTAAATGTTCTTTGTTTTTTTTTTTTTTTATTTTTAACATTTTAATGATAAGATTCGTATGTTACCTTACAATGATTAAGATAAACTGAATGATTAACTGTTTGTAAATGTAGGAAAGGATCGGCTAAGATTGATTTAATAATTGTTAATGGCTGACATTTGTAGCCTTTACAATAAACCATATCTCAGGTAAAAATCTTAAGTTCTTTTTCTATCGTCTGACAGCATGTACACTAACGTTATAACATGAATCACATTTTAAATTGTATGTTCTAAGTTGTGTTTTTTTCCTTGTCCGTGTTGCTGTTATACAGATATTTACGCATTTAGTTACAAAGCCACGTTATTTACGCGTTTATAAATTATATATAAAAAGCCATATAATATGAGAATTAGATTACACGTTGCTGTAGCCTTATTATACTATTTATATAATGAAGTCTTTATTTTTATTTTTTACTATGTCCAGAAAGTGTCTGAAAATAGATAAATCTGTATTGTATTAGTTGTGTAATACATATTCAAAGAAAAGTTTCTTAAAGGCACATTATGTCTTAGAACTGTTTTAATTATATTCCTCTAATCTAAAAGCTTTTATTTTTTGTCATATTATATATTGTTTCCAGAAACTTGGTCAATTATCTGAACCATATTTTACCTCTGTTGCGTTTCGGCTATTAGTATTCTTATAGTTATTTAGTATATTGTATGGAAGTCAAAATTTACATTTTGCTACTTATCATGCTTATATAACAAATATTTTCACATTACATTATTACTTTCTTCAGGTTATATAAGCATCTTACATGTTGTAAAACCGTTACTTAGTTGCTATAAAAACTGATGTTTGTCATTTCTAAAGAAGGAAAAATTTATTCGTTTCTGAGGCATAATGTGCCTTAAACGCTTGCCTCAGAACTGTTTATAAAATGATGTACACACGCTGCTTAGTCTACAAGTGGGCATGTCGACTGTACCAGGCATGTGGAAAGGCACTGCTTCCCAAACCGACGTTTATAAATTTATGAAATGACTTCTGATACTCGCATGTTTTGTTTTTAGTTGCATTGAATTTTTTTATTTTTGTCACTCTCAAGTGTGCGTTTCTTTCTGGTTAATACGAGATAATTGAGCTAAAATGAACATGCATGTCGGTGATTTTAATGGAAATAGAGGTCAAATACACTGTATACGCATTTTATTTTCATTTGAAAGAGAAATGTTAAGAAGTTCCTTATAACCAGAAAATTTTCAAAATTTGTTAAGACTGATTTTTAATGCATGCTTGACTTTTATGAGAAAATCATTATTTATAAATGTTTACTTTAATCTTAAGAAAGAAAGGTATCATACATTTGTTAAATTTCCCCCCAAAAAATAATTTAGATACCCTAAAATGTCATAATTTATAAGGCTTAAGTTGCACAAATACTCTCGAACTTTAGCTAATTTAATTAACTTATATTAATTTATTAGTACTTGTATGAAAATAATCTTTGTAAATTAATTTGCAGTGTATATGATCTGAAACATCTATGTGAGCATAGGAATGGTTTGGTCTATGCCGTTTTAAACAAGATTGTTTATATTAAACATTTATCAAACTTTAATAATGTTGACAACTACTTGCTGGTATTTGTTTAGCTATTTTAAACGTCTCCAGTTTATTTACACACCAGGTGAATTATCTTGGATCATGTTGTATTATTGTTTACTTCGGATGAATTATTCCAAATTTTTCACCCATGTGTCAACCAGGAAAACCCTATCCGTTAAATCTTTATGAGCCGCGTCACGACAAAACCAACATAGTGCGTTTGCGACCAGCATGGATCTGGATCCATGCTGGTCGCAAACCCATTATGTTGGTTTTGTCGTGACACGGCTCATATTATACCCCTGTTGCTCCTCATATTTGTAACATTGTTACGCTCTCTCATTAACGATTTTTACGTTTAACGTAACGTTACTTAAGCATAGACGTAATGTGACCTTTATTGTTTATTATTACATTGTATATCACTGCTATAAGACAGCAAAACAAAAAAGCAACAGTTTCAGTTTTGATATAATTATGACATCTTGTTAAAAAGAAGAAATATCTACCCCTCACGTGCAATCCATAGCTACGTACCGTGATTTATAAAGCTTCTGATGACGTCAGTTCCGTTAATATGTTCAATAGCTTTCCCTAACGTAAGATTCACTTTACTATGAAACTCAACTTCGTCTGTTATTCCTTCGCCGTCTGCAGTTTGCAATGAATTGTATAAACTTATCATAAACTTTGGCGCCGAATAGTCATATCCGTGTTTCACTACGTGAGGTCGCTGGTGCAAACCCAGTAACTGTAGAATCTCGGCCTGCACCTCGGCCTGTTTCCGTTTGTGATGATGATCAATCACGATCGTCTGCTGGTGCCCAATACCATTGTCCGCGAAAAACTCCGAACATATTGCGTTATTTAATAGCTCCAGAAGTATATAAATTACTACTGACAAATTGTTCACAACTTTATTAACCTTCATTTTAATTTTATACACTCCCCAAACCCACAATTCACAATCTTTCAATTTTTGTTAATTTAACTTGGGAGCCTTTCTGCTCCGTCAGTATTTCTTACCTTTTAACACTGTATTATTGAGCCTACATTTCGGTTAATTATGCTTTAAAACAAATCTATTACCCGAGTTAAGATATCCTTAATATACTTCTTTTTCTACAGATGTACTTATGTTTATATCCGACAACTTTTATATACACACCGGGTAAATCACATTGTTAACTATCATCTCCCAAATAAATTCTCACTCAATTAACTAAGGATTCTCAACTTTAAAAAGATTTTTTGAACGGTACAGAAAATTACTTTAAATGAAGCCCTGTGTCAATTATCAGATCACACGAAACACCTGTTAAATCCAAAAAAGTTTAAAAGTATAAAACTAGGTTTACAAAGAGATATCTGTTCCGAAAGGAATGCTAAATGTACACAAAGAAATCAGTGCATTAATAACATTAGAGGCGCCTGGGGGGATTCGTATATACCTGTCTGTTCTATTTATAGTAACATTTTTAACAGGTGCGTGTGTTTCAAACCGAGACAAAACGTAATGTTGACTGTAAGTTATTAAAACTGTATATTATTAAAATTGATAATAATTAACCTATTTGTGGACGTTTCAATACAAGTGTCTTTGAACATGTGTTTATGGACATACATGTAGATAAATCTATAGATATATCAAATGAAAGATAAAATCATTTCTATAAATACGCACGCAATTATTATAAGTTGTACAAATCTATAAATTTAATTATTGTTATAAGCAAACCACGTGTATTGAAAATCAATCAAGTAAACGTTTACAGACCAGAAAGACTGATAACAAGGATGATTGAAACACCCTGTTAACTAGCAGAAACATGGGACGAGTGCAGACAATTCAGTCAAAGCATAATATGAAGTTTTCCCTAAAAATGATGAATGATTTAGTTAATAAGTCCATTTAAATTTCATAATAACTGGTTAGTTTAATTCCTATGATGTAAAGTTAATTCTACTTCTGATGAAAGTTGTGATCTGCTATAATGTCGTCTGCTTATTATGTCCCCTTCAAAGAAGTGGGGGTATAATACTTTGCATTTGTCTGTCTGTCTGTCGGTAGGTCGGTCCTCTATCTGTCGGTAGGTCGGTCCATAGACCAAATGGTTTCCTATCAATAACTAGAGAACGTTTAGGCCTAGAAACTTCAAACTTGGTATGATGATTGTACATGACCAGTAGACGACCCCTATTGATTCTTGGGTCAAGGGTCATAGGTCAAGATCACATTGACCTTGTAGGTAAAAATGGTTTCCGATCAATAACTAAAGAATGCTTTAGCCTAGAAACTTTTAAACGTAGTATGTACAAGACCAGAAGATGACCCTATAGATTTTGGGGTCAATGGGTCAAAGGTCAATGTCACATTGACGTTGTAGGTGAACTGAAGTTGCCTTGGTTGATTATTTTTATTGAACTAAAATGCTTTTGGTATATACATTTCAAGGTCGTATGTAATATAACAAATTGGCTGTCATTGAAGAGGCCTACATGATTCATAAAATTTATGCATGTATTTGGTAAGATTTGTGATAACTTTCTCATAAAATTGCTGCACACATTATTTGGAGTTGCGTGCTTATTGGCTTGTTACATCAAATCAGGGGAAAACCCGTTACACCGGACAATCTTGAAATTTCTCTAAGCGCTGTAACAAAGGAACTGACAAATAACATGAACCACCAATACTTTGTAGGGCCATGTGCTGCTCCCGACGCTGAAAACTCTAACGTTTATGGAGGGTAATTTATGCCAAAATTACATCTTGCTTTCTTACGTTACATCGTGCTTTCTAACTTGTACATCGTGCTTTCTAACTTGTACATTATGCATTCTGACATATACATCTTGCATTCTGACTTTTACATGTTGCTTTCTTACATGCACATTATGCTTTCTGCTGTGTGCGACATGCTTACTTTTATGTTGATGTCGTTATTTAACGATCAATTATTATTCATTTGTTGATCTGGTATATTAATTCAATAAATTAACCTGCAACTGTTTGTATTTGGGTCTATATACTCAGCTTGAATGACGAATGTCATAAGGTAGAATGCGCATAGCCGAAAGCCGAATACAGCAAGCATAATACAACGCGACATCTGGTGTAATAATATGTGACACCCAAATTATGCTAACAGGTGGCGCTACAGTTACATTCTCGGTAAAGTCCGTATTGCGGTTCGGATTCAGTTTACCAAGTTACGTCCCTTTGTTTTAAAATTTCCATTTGCACTCATGGAGAAAATATACAAAACGATTTAACCCAATTTTTATATTTATTAATGAAACTCTGTAGGTCAAATTATATTTCCAGCTGACAATGACAAGTTGCACATTTCCAAATCAATGGTTTTTAGAATTATTTTTTTCATCAACAAAATAATTATAAATATAGAACAGTTGTTCAACATTGTTCAAAGTGCTTGGGCCATAACAAACTTCTTATTAAAATATTTTCATACTCTTGAAAAGTTCTTAAATTTTGACATGGCTTATTTCCAATACCTGTGACCATCCACAACATTTTTAATGTGTTTTTATTAATTAGGACATTTTCTTGCCTATTTTCAAACTAATTTTGTACACACGTTAGATTTTTTTAATTCAACTTGTCCAAAAAATGTCTTTTTTCACTAAGTTGAAATTATTCACTAAGATGCTTTATGAATACGGCCCAGGTTCTTGTTCACAGTGTCGGCTTAAAACTGAAGAAACTGCTGCCAAAATCAGCTGATTCTGAGAAAAAAATAAAATAAAATGTCAAAACTGTCTAGTCTGTCAGACTAGACAGTTTTGCCTTTTTTTTCTTTTGCAGCGGCACGGGCTACCTCTCTAGATTTGAATTTTTATATCACAGGTACCCTCTCATTTTTAACACATACGTACCCACAAGGCACGACATATGCTTTTATTTGCGTTAATCGTTAAGTATCACTGTATGTAATATTTACATAAAAGTAAGAAATATTACATACCTATTTAACGATTAACGCAAATAAGAGCATATGTTGTGCCATGAGGGTACGCTGCAAAACCGAAAGTAGGGTGTTCTTATGAATTTTACATTTATTTTTGACAATATACTGGTATTTGTCCGAAGATGATATGTAAATGAACATATTAAATATGTATAATGCATATATAATCAAGCCCATGGTTCATTGCAGCCCGAAAAGTATGTCGAGGTGATGGGCGAGGCAAGACATGTCGATTTTTTGTAGCTTATTGTGAAGTTGCAGTACATGAAAAACGGGCACATGACAAATCAGCAGATAAATAAAACATTTTAGTGTTCCGTGGTATATATCTTTTGTACGTGTCAAACCCCCTTTCCTTATTACATTGAAATTTTACTGGATTGTTATCCATCGCTGGTTTGTTTTTAGCAGAGAATGAATTGTGCATGTGTAAAGAGGGTACCGTTTGAGCAGATTTCGCAAAGAGGGTACCGATATAGATATGCACCGTGGTGTAGCTTTAGGACGAATGATTTCATAATATTAATTGATGAGTACATAAAAATAAAATGTACAAAAATGGTCCCAAGAAATGGTTATAAAACGAATATTGCATGTTTGGCTGAAGATGCCTTTTTAGTAGTTTTCTTTAATTATAGCGTTCATGATATTGGAAATGTATAGCAGATCTTACTCATTTAAAACAAAAAAGTTGTATTCCTTAAGGTAATAGTATTTGCAATACAAACACCACTGAGAATGTAGAAAAAAATGTTTATTAATATCTTCTATGACAAACAATTCATTTGATTTTATAACCATTTCTTGGGACATTTTTTGTACATTTTGTTTTTATGTACCTTTTTTTCTCAGAATCAGCTGATTTTGGCAGCAGTTTATGTGTTAAAAATGAGAGGGTACCTGTGATATAAAAATTTAAATGAAGAGAGGTAGCCCGTGCCGCTGCAAAAGAAAAAAAAAGGCAAAACTGTCTAGTCTGACAGACTAGACAGTTTTGACATTTTATTTTATTTTTTTCTCAGAATCAGCTGATTTTGGCAGCAGTTTCTTCAGTTTTAAGCTGACACTGTGAACAAGAACCTGGGCCGTATTCATAAAGCATCTTAGTGAATAATTTCAACTTAGTGAAAAAAAGACATTTTTGGACAAGTTGAATTTAAAAAATCTAACGTGTGTACACAATTAGTTTGAAAATAGGCAAGAAAATGTCCTAATTAATAAAAACACATTAAAAATGTTGTGGATGGTCACAGGTATTGGAAATAAGCCATGTCAAAATTTAAGAACTTTTCAAGAGTATGAAATATTTTAATAAGAAGTTTTTTATGGCCCAAGCACTTTGAACAATGTTGAACAACTGTTCTATTTTATAATTATTTTGTTGATGAAAAAAATAATTCTAAAACCATTGATTTGGAAATGGGCAACTTGTCATTGCCAGCTGGAAATATAATTTGACCTACAGAGTTTCATAAATAAATATAAAAATTGGTTAAATCGTTTTGTATATTTCTCCATGAGTGCAAATGGAAATTTTAAAACAAAGGGACGTAACTTGGTAAACTGAATCCGAACCGCAATACGGACTTTACCGAGAATATAACTGTAGCGCCACCTGTTAGCATAATTTGGGTGTCACATATTATTACACCAGATGTCGCGTTGTATTATGCTTGCTGCATTCGGCTTTCGGCTATGCGCATTCTACCTTATGACATTCGTCATTCAAGCTGAGTAAATAGACCCAAATACAAACAGTTGCAGGTTAATTTATTGAATTAATATACCAGATCAACAAATGAATAATAATTGATCGTTAAATAACGACATCAACATAAAATTAAGCAAGTCGCACACAGCAGAAAGCATAATGTGCATGTAAGAAAGCAACATGTAAAAGTCAGAATGCAAGATGTATATGTCAGAATGCATAATGTACAAGTTAGAAAGCACAATGTACAAGTTAGAAAGCACGATGTAACGTAAGAAAGCAAGATGTAATTTTGGCATAAATCACCCTCCATAAACGTTGAAAATGCTGCTCAAACTTAGAAAGTTTCATTTTTAGTTTGATTTATACCAGTTCAAGCCAGACAAGATTGAAGTTAGTGTTATTGGAAGTTTTATGTCTGTTGTTGGAAAGCATGGAGTGAAAAAAACCTGGCTCAGTATTTTCTATGAAGTATAACAGATCTTCCTCTAGATGTCAAACCAGAAAGTGTGCTGTCCGAGCTTAGAAGTGATGATTTATTGAAAATTATGGCACCTGCTTCCCACTGGAAAAGTTGTTCACAAATTTTTAGCAATTTTTATGAGAACTGGATACATGTATTTCAAAAGCCTGCAAAATGAGACTGAATTGTGGATTCTGAAATATATTGTAAATGATATAAAAAATAAACACACCTTAATATAGATTTATTTGTTCTGCTCTAATTTAATGTAATTAAATTTGTATGCTACCCCATTGGGCTTCATATAGTCACCACTTTTACCATCAATTCTGTCCTTCCATCTATTATCCCAAAATTTTGTCCAACTGTTTCTCAGCTGGAATTTGTCAAAAGTTCATATTAAGCTTCACCATTAAAATATATGTACATATTGGTGACAATGCTAACTAACTAGTTCGGTAATTTTTGCAGAGATATATGCTCTATGATGCCCTTGCCATTGCCAGAATACAGCTCCAAAGCTATTTAGAGGACTTTGCTGAAGGTGTTCAGGTTTATAGGGGTGATACAATTCAATGTTTACCGTATCCTGCAATTACAAGCTCTTGTCAACTGTCCATGGTTAAGTGGTTAAGGCTGTTAACTTAAAACCACTTGCCCCTGACTTTTGTGTGTTTGAATCCAAATAGAGATATTTGATTCATTTATATGTGTGGAAGCTATCCAGCCAGCGTACGAAATAATGCACATGGGCATTCGATGACTTCCTCCACCAGTAAAGCTGGAAAGTCGCCATATGACCTAGTCTGTTTTGGTTCAATGCATATCCCCTGTCTTTCCCCATACCTCCTCAGAAGGATTCTTTAGGTTCTTCTACTTGGATGATACATAAAAAGCACGTGGCTTGTAAGGCTATATTCGTTTACGTTATGACAATTCTTTCAGTTCATTCAAGTGTTCAAATTCAGTGCCTTTTGGCTGCATATTTACTGTGACCTTAAGGAAAAATCTGTGTCACCAACCTGTTACCAAAGGCATATTTTATACGCAGTGAACTTATCTTATACGCAGTAGATGCATTCTTTAATTAAATGAGAATGGATGAAATAAATTAATTATCATGCTATTTTGATAGTGAGGTAAATTTATGCTATGAGGGCTGTTTATTTTATCTTATTATGAAGCTAAGGAAAATGTTTAGAAGACACATAATTGCATGGTAATCTTAAAAGTGTAGTTTTCAAAATGAAATCAACCTTCAATTATATTCTTTAGCTAACATGAGCCCAAAGTGTCTAAAAATAAGCTTTTGTCTTGTGTTGTCTCGGCATTATCCACAATTTCCTTGTAACAAGATATTGGTAGATTAAAAACTAGATTTCGACCAAAGTTCAAAGGAAGTATCATCTAGTTATGTTAGGAGTTTCAGGCTAATTATACAAGTAGGCCACCGGCTATGAAAGTAATGTCAAATCTAATAATTTAAAAAAAAACTCTTCTCCTTACATGTAGTGAAACAATGACCAGAGCTAAATTATTTTGTATGCTGAGCCTCATCGTGTGGTCTTTTACAAAAGCAGAAAAAAAAACAAAATAATGACCAGCCCTTGCGCACATTCAAAACAAAATATAATGTTATAATGTGGTTGGGTTGTCGGAAACTTGTCAAAACAATAAGAACGCAAGTTTAAGATACTGATTTTAAGAAGTCTTGGCTATTTTATAAATTTAAAACAGTTTGGAGGTATACTAAACCTGTGAATGAAAACGAGAAGAGTTTTCTTTGAAAATTGACATATTTGAAGAAGCAACTACAATGTGTTTTAAGATTTTTTGGACTGCTGTGGTAATGAGCTTGTTAAATCAAGTATGGGGATTACCTGTCAAACAAAATGTTCCTGAAATTTCACCAAGTATGGCGGGGGATCTGGCAAAAATGAACCCTAGATCTGGTATAGCTCAATCAGGTCTAGCATCTGTAAATGACTGGAGACTCACTGAAAACTTCAGAATTTATAGGCCTTTTCAAAAAAATAAATGGAGTAACACACTATCACTATTGTCAACCCCGTTAAGCAAACAATCTGTCACGTGACCTCACAAGGTATTTTTGTTTGTATTATTCGCTGTATGCTCACATGCTTGTTGTCATGGCTTGAGCTTAATAAAGTTTATGTTGTTGTTGTTGTTGATAATCCGGTTCAAACACTGGCAAACGGATCTCGAAAATTCCAACTTGAGTTTGGTTTGCGTCAGTTCAAGCCGGAAGAGATTCATGTTCGTATTTCGGGAAGCACCTTAACAGTCAGTGCAAAGCGTGTAGATCCTGACATAATTTCCAGCAAAGGAGGTCCTGTCGAGTATAATAGATCATATATGCTTCCTAAAGACATTACACCAAACAGTTTGATGTCTGAGCTCAGAAGTGATGGTTTATTGGTTATTAGGGCATCACTACCAGCTTTAGAAGGACAAAGAGAGAAAATTATCACAACATCAGCTTAATCAACATTATTTTGTGATAACTGGTTATTCAAACAACCTGCAAAATGTGTCAGAATTATGAAGTTTGATTGAAGTATGTTGTTAATGATATAAAGAATATATTCAAGTTGAAATATATTTGATTGTTCTTCTCTTTTTAAGCAGCAAGTTGATTGATCAAAGTTCAAGGTCACAGTTGCCTTGACTACAAAAAAACTAGTCTGACCAATAACTAGAGAATGCTTCGCTTTAGCTTGGAGTTGAAGGTCGATCATGAGTAGATGACTCATATTAAATTTTAATTGACAGGTTATTCAGTTATTTAAGTCAAGGCTGACATGGCCATCACAACAAAACTCCAACCAACAATAAAACTAGAGCATGCTTTGGTCTATTGTCATGAGATTGAGTGTCACGTTTGGTCATGACTAGTGGAACTAATGTTTTCTATTTATTTTGAGGCAGGTTGATCATAGGTCAAGGTCACCATGACCTTGTCAACTGAAAGGTTGTCTGACAAATAACTAGGGAATGCTTTGGCCTACAGTCCTAAGAGTTTGTGTGTGATAAGTAAAAATGAACCCATATAATTTTGGTCTGAATTATGTGTCTCTTTCAAAATGATTCAAAACTTTTTAATATATTTTAGGGATATATTTTCGAATTTGTACAAATGCTATTTGTGGCAAATGTTATATTCAGTTTTTAATCTGTTTGCTGTGGCTGTGGATTATTTTGCCAAGTGGTTAAGGCTTCTGGGTTCAGGATTTGAATTCATTCAGCCTCATGTGGGAAAGTTTGTTATGCCTCCGGGTATATTTTAATTGAACCGTCCATCTGTCGCTCTCATGAAACAGTAATAATGTGGAAGAGGGACAATAGCTAACTGTTCTTTCTCTTCGATGTCATTAATTCCGTAATGCTTTTATGTGGCTATTTTCTTTTGTGTGACTAAAAATAACAATAGACAGTGATAGAGAGAACAACTACCTATACCACATAATGTACATGGTCTGGGTAAGTTACATAATATATATTGTAACGTTCATTTATGTTTAATAAAGAACTTTTAGGCATTTGCATAGCTTTTATAAAACCTGTCTTTATAACCTGTAAAGGATATTTTCTTTTTATTAACATAAATGAACGTAACAATAAACCTATTTTACCATATATTTCTACACATATGTGTATAATTATGTGCCGATAATCATGTAAAGATGTTATTTACAAATGGTGCATTTTCAATATGGTGTCGTTTGTCGGCAAATATTCTGAATAAATTATCTATATTTTTCAATAGATCATGGCTTTAAAAGCATTATTTTCTGAAACATTTATCTTTTTTTTCACAAGTTCAAAGATTTTTAAGACCATCATGTTGTTAGAATTTTCATTTTTACTCTTATAGCTAATTTTCGCCCTTTTCTTGAACACTTATATAATTTGCATAGAGCAAACTATACCGAATTATTCCTAGATATGTCTAATTGTAGCGAAAAGGGTTTACGTAGCGCGTTTCCAGACCATTACATTTGAAAGACCCTAATTTAAAACACGTGACTCAGTCGAGACATCTTTTTTCGTAGAACTGGTCTGACTCGAGACCATTCTATTTGAAAGACCCTGATCTGGATTACAAAATAACGTGATTTCAACTACTCGTTAACTAAATGTAAATAATAATTTGTGACTGTTAACATACATGTATTTGCACCAATGGTACAGTAATGAATTCTTGGGTGGATTAGAATAACCTTAAGTCCTGCAACGATTGTCCCCCTTTCGTCGCGCCCACGAGTCAAAGTGGAAATATTAATTTTCATGATTTTGAATGCATTACGGTATAATATTGCACGGTATAGAATCTTCGGCCTTCGTGTGATTATATTACTGCGCATCTGAAAACCACACCGTGCGTTATTGGACGACATATTGCTCTCCAAATCAAGATATATCACTCATGATACTATATGTATAATTATTAAGTTGGTCAGTTTGTTCACTTGTGAAACCTTCTACAGTATTATCAACATTATTGTATATTACTTCATAACATTACACCTATGTCAAGGCCTTGTTTCTGATTGTTCACCTTATTATCTAAAACAATGACATACATCTAAACATGTATGTGAATGTTAAAGGCAGTTCCATTAACAACGTATAAATGGCCGTGGAAAAAAACGTGGTAAAATGCACAATAAAGTATTCAAAGTTGGCCATACCACATGGTATGATTTATTTTGTCATTTAAAGGTATTTTTATTCGCGGTATGCCCCAAAATTTCGTCTTTTCCTTTTTTTGATGTTTTTTTTTATTTTATTTTTTATTTTATTTTTAAAACAACTCTTTCCGTAATTGGCGAGGTATTTCGACGGCGACTTTCTTTGTAAGGGTCCATCCACCTGTTAAGGCACGAAAAGTAGCTTTTTCGCTACCGTGTGTACAATACAGTCACCAGTCATGATCTTGAAGCGCTGTTGGACTCTTTCGTAACGGATCACATATGATACACTTGTTATGAAAGACGTCCCATTCGTAACATGTGTTACTAATGTGTAATGGAAATAAAGGTACAAACAATACAATTTTTGTTACGAATCTGATCGATGCAGAGTTTTGACGTGCCGTAGAACCACATTCGTAAAAAAAGTACATTTTTCATTGAATTACATATGTAAATGCGGGTACTTCAGTCCGTAATAAGTGTAACTGAATGTCTGGTCATTAAGCATAATTTGTGTAGTAAAATGATGGGTTTTTTGTACACTGCAATATAAGTTGAAAAAAAAATTGCCGATCTAATGGAACAAGAGAAAATGGTATTTTTCATTTCTTACCTACGACCTAATTTAAAACGAATATCTCTTGACGACTTATCTAACTCCTTATCAATTTCAGCCTGATACGTATATCTTAGACACGATTTTTTTTCGTTGTAAGTATTTATAGAGTCGTCTGCATTCAGAAATAGTCGTCTGTGACAGAAAGACTAAAATATCCTTCAAGATGAAGATTGCAATAGTTTGTGTTTTGGGTTGTCTGATTGGTAAGTTAAATGTTTATTGAAATGTAGCACCTTGTTCACTGTAGCAGAAAAATGGTTTCCGATTAAAACAATCGAAATGTAGATAGTTTGGACTTGGTTTTAGAGTGTGCAAGAAATAAGTGAGTCACTCTTGCTGACGTTTTTTGTTTGTTTCACACCAACTTTCCAGCTTTTTCCAGCCAGAAGGCGTAAGGTGCCACCTTCGTGCCTTAATACACGCACGAGCGGGCTCCTGAGTAAAACCGACTATCTCCGTAAGCTCGCTAGGTATCTTTTTTCACATTAAAGAATCTGACGACCCTTGCGGGATTCGAACCCACAGCGGACAGGGGCAAGTGATTTGAAGTCGGTGACCATAATTATTCGGCCGAAGAGGTCCCTGATATTTGTGCACATTGTTATGAAATTGGCAAGCAATATTGAAATGACATAATTATTTCGTTAATTGAGAAATTGCTTGAATTGTTTAATTGTTGATTTGTAAAGGAATTTGTGTTAAAGATAACATATGGCTGGAGTTTTCATGAATTGTACAATTGAAAAGAAATCCATGCCAAGTAAGAAGAGTTTGGATGTATTGGTAGGTTGTGCATTAGCATAAACATTAAATGCAGCAGTGTTGGTAAACCTTTTGTTTACAAAACAGTAATTATACTGTCTGTCAACAGTACAGAGCTCCGTCAGAGTTCATACTGGCCCAGTACTGGTGGTAAAGGTTCCAGCAAGGCAAGAATGAGAGCAAATCCTGTATCGACTCCTTACCACGCCTGGAACTACCGTGCAATAAATAAATTGATTAAAGCAGCATGCCTCCAGATTCATGCTAATTTTCATGAAAATGTTAAAAATGTACAATATATTTAAAAGTAAAATGATTTTGTGAAAGAAACAAAGAAAGTTATTCGTACATTGCAAACGGCACTTACAATCTTCGTTTATTACCAACAAGAGGGCAAAGTATGGAAAAATAACCCTTATTCCGTTTATCACGCTGTATTAAAATATGGTGATATGTATATACTGCAAAATCTGCTATCAAATCGTAAGTAACATGTAAATTGTTTTTTTTAAATCTTGAACTCTTTATTTTTCTTATAATCTGGAGGTATGCAGCTTTTAATATTTATTTAAAAATTGATTGCACGATTAACTGATATTTTCGCTAGTTCTTTGATTCAAATTTATTCATTTCTTACGTTTTAAAAAATAATTTCTCCAGGTTTAGTGATGTCACAGAATTGTCTGCTTCAAGCGGACTGCAGTCTGAACTGCGGTGAAGGGTTCGAGGCCCACTGTTTGGATAACAATTGTAAATGTCTGCATGAAACACGTGAGTGTTACATCTTAACACTAGAATGCTTTTTAGCTTGGAAAAGTTATCCACGTATAAAGTATATTTTCTCATGTATTGTCTGATTAGCTTTTTAAATTACAATTTGGTAGACGCAATACCTTTACACAAATGTAACGGCCTACTCTATTATAAGGTAGCCTGATGAAGAAGAAATAAATGTCCGTATCGGTGTATATAAACTGCGGCGATTTTTAATTCATTTTTGAGTATATTTCGAAATTGTCTTTTGCATATGTTTCTGTTTTAAATGCCGAAACTCATATACTCGTATGTAAGAAATTCAAATTTTGTGTGTTTTTCTGCCTTTAAATAAGTTCAAAAGTGGAAACTATTTTCCTTGAAATGTTTCGAAACTGCACAAAGCTACATTTGGACATTCCTGTAACTGTATAGGTATAGGTTTGTGTCATTTTCCTGCACATTTATAAAACAGCTATTTTCTTTAAAATAATAGGATAATGGTTACGTGACATTCACCCAACCTATTGATAACATTCAATCTTCTTTGGCATTTAGTATTTGCAGGTAGCGGTTTGTGACATTTCGACCCCACATTTTTTACAGCTGATGACTTTTTCCTATTATCTTTATCTCCGCTCAACCACTTCTCAAATTTTACAGTGTGTTATTAATGTCCAGCGTTGACCAACCGTATATTTACAGCGTGTGATAAGTGACTGGTGCGCTCTCAATCCCTCTGTATATTAACAATTTAACAGTGTGTGATTGGTGACTTACTCACTCTCCATCCATTCGTATCAACCCTCCGTATATTAACAGCGTATGATTTAATAAGGGACTTATCCCTCAGACTCTACATCTCTCCGATATTAACAGCTTTGAATTAGTGACTTTTCCCCTCAGACTCTACATCTCTCTTCATTTATTAACAGCGTGTGATTAGTGACTTATTCCCTCAGACTCTACATCTCTCCGTTTATTAACAGCGTGTGATTAGTGACTTTTCCCCTCAGACTCTACATCTCTCCGTATATTAACAGCGTGTGATAAGTGACTTTTCCCCTCAGACTCTACATCTCTCCGTATATTAACAGCGTGTGGTTTAATAAGTGACTTATCCCCCCAGACTCTACATCTCTCCGTTTATTAACAGCTTGTGATTAGTGACTTTTCCCCTCAGACTCTACATCTCTTCGTTTATTAACAGCGTGTGATTAGTGACTTTTCCCCTCAGACTCTACATCCCTCCAATTATTAACAGCGTGTGATTAGTGACTTTTCCCCTCAGACTCTACATCTCTCCGTATATTAACAGCGTGTGATTAGTGACTTTCCCCTCAGACTCTACATCTCTCCGTATATTAACAGCGTGTGATTTATTAAGTGACTTATCCCCTCAGACTCTACATCTCTCCGTTTATTAACAGCTTGTGATTAGTGACTTTCCCCTCAGACTCTACATCTCTCCGTATATTAACAGCGTGTGATTTATTAAGTGACTTATCCCCTCAGACTCTACATCTCTCCGTTTATTAACAGCGTGTGATTAGTGACTTTTCCCCCTCAGACTCTACATCTCTCCGTTTATGAACGGCGTGTGATTAGTGACTTTTCCCCTCAGACTCTACATCTCTCCGTTTATTAACAGCGTGTGATAAGTGACTTTTCCCCTCAGACTCTACATCTCTCCGTATATTAACAGCGTGTGATTAGTGACTTTTCCCCTCAGACTCTACATCTCTCTCTACATCTCTCCGTTTATGAACGGCGTGTGATTAGTGACTTTTCCCCTCAGACTCTACATCTCTCCGTTTATTAACAGCGTGTGATTAGTGACTTTTTCCCTCAGACTCTACATCTCTCCGTTTATTAACAGCGTGTGATTAGTGACTTTTCCCCCTCAGACTCTACATCTCTCCGTTTATTAACAGCGTGTGATTAGTGACTTTTCCCCTCAGACTCTACATCTCTCCGTTCATTAACAGCGTGTGATTAGTGACTTTTCCCCTCAGACTCTACATCTCTCCGTTCATTAACAGCGTGTGATTAGTGACTTTTCCCTCAGACTCTACATCTCTCCGTTCATTAACAGCGTGTGATTAGTGACTTTTCCCCTCAGACTTTACATCTCTCGGTTTATTAACAGCGCATGATTATAACTTTTCCCCTCAGACTCTACATCTCTCCGTATATTAACAGCGTGTGATTAGTGACTTTTCCCCTCAGAATCTACATCTCTCCGTTTATAATCAGCGTGTGATTAGTGACTTTTCCCCTCAGACTCTACATCTCTCCGTTCATTTACAGCGTGTGATTGGTGACTTTTCCCCTCAGACTCTACATCTCTCCGTTTATTAACAGCGTGGGATTAGTGACTTTTCCCCCTCAGACTTTACATCTCTCCGTATATTAACAGTGTGTGATAAGTGACTTTTCCCCTCAGACTCTACATCGGTCCGTATATTAACAGTGTGTGATTAATGCCTTATCCCCTCAGAACCTCCCTCCATCCGTGACTTATTCACTCAAGACTCTCTATCCTTCCGTATATAAACGACCGAGTGTGATGAATGACTTATTCTTTCCCAAATTCCTCAATTTCACATCTCCCGTTTTAAAGCTCACTGTAATTAGTCACAATTCCGCAACCATTTAAACAATTATTTTCGTTTAAAGGTATGATAAAATAACATTTTTGACATTTATGTTTTTTAGCTGTACCATGTCGAGATGATGACGACTGTGAAGCGGCCCATCATAACCACGAGCACTGTGGCGCTCACAATAACCGTGAATGGAAATGCAGTCACCACAGCAAATGTTACTGCGTCGATGATTAATTCAACCTAGTATGACGCATTGGTCGATTATGATGATGAAAATAAACAACAATATTAAACTACAGTTGTTCTTCTTTTTTAATATCTTAATTGCTACCCGTGAAGAATAATTATTTGAGTTTACAAGATAATTAATTAAGGGAGGTAATTAAGAGAAAGATATTAAAATATCTTTACAAAGAGTTATCATACAAAACTTTGACATTATACATTCATGAGTTATCTTATATTCATACAAAACTATATCATAATACATCCATCACACTGGTCAAAAGTCGTTATGGGCCTTTAAATGCCTCATGTTTTGATTCGTCTGTGCTGTTTAACATTATAGTTTGGTTACATTTTACATATTCTGAGAGAACTACTTTTTCTACCGACCATATAACATATAGTCACTGATTGTGCACGCTTTCTTCCTTCGGATTGATTTATTCAACATATTTCAATCAAACTTTGTTGGAGCGATTGAATGGATTAAATCTTCCAAAAGCGCCCATTCCCCACAACATGTCGTATGGGTAAGGTTTTGACAGCGGCGCAGCCTCGTCTAGTTCTTTCATCTGTGATAAAGATAAGAGAAATATGCTGAAGGAACATTTTTAGGTCTGAAACCTAGCTTATGCAAAACTGCTAGTTATCTTTTAAATCACTATAACTGAGGTTTTTTTAAAGAATAAATTGGGTTTTACGTCGCATTAAAACAGAAGAGGTCAAATGGCGACTTTTGAGCTTCACTGGTGGGGGAAGACTTAAGGTTTCAATCTGCGCGTTATTTCAGGGACAAACGGGCACCTGAGCAGAACCACCGACGTTCCTTAAGTTAGTTGGATAGCTTTATCACATGAAAGAATCCGAAGACGATTGCTCGACTGGAACCTACAACAGTGAGCTAAAGCTTCTTTCAAAGATACATGTGCAGCTTACAAAGAGGTTTAAAACGACTGATTTCGGTACATCAGAAAATGGTCTAAGTATATAAAAATCATCAGACAATTCCCTAATTTGATTGATAACATTTTTTTAGGAAATAAGTGTTCTTACAAATACGTCATACTTATAAGGCCTAATCAAATAAAATAATACCCCTTCGGCGGAAATTTCCCAGCCCCCTGAAGCGCCCACGTTGTCTTCAAGTTGCCGTATTGAGGTGCAGCCTATTATTACAGAAGAGACCACGTTCTTTTGCAGAAGCCATCTTAACGCTACCTGAGGCACAGTTTTACCTGAAATAAAATGAAATTTTTGGTTCACTGATTCAACCGCAAAAGTCATCTTAACGCTACCTGTGGGGCAGTTTTTGCCTTAAATAAAATGAAATTCTCGGTTGCTGTTTCAATATGAAAACTATTCTTTATATTAACCAGAGACCACCGATGCGTTATCATGGTTCCGGCTTTGAAAAGTATTGTACTGGTACTTAAATACTTCCTTTAAAAAAGTACTGGTATTGCAAGTACTGAGCTAAAATCTAAGTATGGTTACTGGTTTATGGTATTGTATAACTTGGCAAGTACTAGTACTGGGTACTTAAGTGGTTACACCTTAGTATTGATGCCAGGGCTCTGGTATTGAAATGAAAAAATAAATGAGCCGCGTCACGACAAAACCAACAAAGTGCGTTTGCGACAAGCATGGATCCAGACCAGCCTGCGCTTCCGCGCAGTCTGATCAGGATCCATGCTGTTCGCTATCAGTTTCTATAGGCTGGTCTGGATCCATGCTGGTCGTAAACCAATTATGTTGGTTTTGTCGTGACGCGGCTCAAATTACCGTTGGCTTTTGCAACTTTTTCCATGACTTCTATAAGTTTCCAGTAAGCATCGTTGTCTCCGAACTCTTCCCAATTACTAGTAGATTTATTCTGTCCCTCTTCTCTCTTGGCTTGCATGTACCCGGTTCTACTTCCGGTGGCGTCTGGTTTCTGGTTTCTCTTGAACTTACCCGTAAGCATGCCCCTATCAAAATGAGAAAATATATTTAAAATAATGAACACAATATGCACGCATGGCAAGACCTGAACATTCTTGAGAAAAAAATACTTAGGCTTACATAATTTTTCAAACATTCATAGACTTCGACTGACGTTTTCAGAAAAAAGATGAACTTTTCCGGGGAATTAGGGAAATAGACAAATTTTCCCCAAAAACCCGGGAAAATTAGACGAACTTTTTCCCGGGAAAACTTTATTTAAAAAATTTTTTTAAATAGTAAACGAGCATTGGGTTTAAAATTTTTTTTTGGGAAAAGGAATCCAAATTAAAAAAAAATATACCCGAGATAAACTATATTTTTAAAGAAAAAAATTTTACCCCTTCAGTGGACTCCATGGCAACACACCAAGTCCCTCATTTTCACACACCATAAAGGCCTCTAGTTCTGAATCACGTCGCAGTAAACTGTATTGTTGCTAAGGTGGCAAATATTATGTTGTTTTAATTCATATTACATATTATATATCTTTGGCATTTCAATAATCATTTCGAAAAGTAACAACATCTATCATAAAATTACCATGCATCATGCCAGGGAAATTTGAAAAAAACAAACAACAAATAAATATATTTCAGAACAGAAAATAGTTTTTATTCAATTGGGCCTTATATTTCTTTCTTTCTTCAAAAACATTTTGTTTTGGGCATATGGTTCTCACTTAAACTTAGCCATTATTGTCGTTTAATTAAAAAAGAGAAAGAGTATCGTGTGTATGAAGATTTAAATAGCATATTAATCTTTTCTTTCCTGAATACATGTAAACATATAAAGATACGTGTAAATCACATATATATTGTGTATTCAATTCTTAAAAATTCTTAAGAAATATGAAATAACATCTGACATGATGAAATAATAGTACCTGCAAAGTGACACATGGATTCAAATTAAGTGTTTTGGTAGTTTCAACAATTTTCTGCATTTGCCAGCCGCAGACGTTACAAAAACCGTAATAACGTATTTTCCCGCACTTAACGAGATCGTCGAACGCACGCAACGTCTCTTCTATAGGTGTTGCATTATCCCACATGTGTGCCTAAAATACAGAAGTGAGGAAATGAAAAGATTTAGTGGTCTTTAACAAACGAATAATTTTTTTACAATTGACATGTTTTCACAAAGAACAATCTTCTTCGGTCTTTTTTCAAGATTCGGAACACCTCCCCGATTGACGGAAATAGTATAAAAGCTATCATTGCCTTTCATACTTCGGTATTACCTCGTGCTTTATTTAAGCAGTTAAAGGTACTCAACTGAGGTTTTTCTGTTAACGTGACAGAACTGGATTTTTTGTCGAGATTTGTTAACTATTTGATATAGGTCTAGACTTCATTTTGTGTCCAGAATTTCTGATCATTCCCTCACTCCGTTTTCCGAGATTTTCCGAGAATTGTCATTAAAATTATGCAAAATGACCAAGTCGGGTTTTTAGACATACACAAAAACAAATCGATTCACAATTCAGAGTATATGTTTCATGACATCAACGTATTTTTCCGTGTTATTTGGCCCCTAGTATGTAAGAATTTAAAAGCCTTTTCCACCTCGGATAAGCTCCTTTGAGTTTAGAATCCGATCTAACATAGAGAGAGGTAATTATGAAGATCACATTTAATAGTTAACATAATACATGCATATTCAAACCTGAAACAAGTCGATGTAGTCCGTCTGTAATCTCTTCAAACTGTCGTCACATGCCTTGATAATGGATCGTCTGCTAAGTCCGACATCATTCAGCGATGAAAAGTCGACGGGGAAACGCACCTTGGTCGCAATAATCATATTCTCTCTGTTCTGACGCCTAGAAAAAAAACAGAAACAAAGTTAGTCAAAGAAACGTACAAAAAGCATCGCACTTTATAATATAATTCAAAATAATTTTATGTACATGCACTATAGGTATGGTAAAGCATCCAGTTTTTTTATCGTTTCGCGATTTGGCAAAACTTATAAAAGTACAAATGTACCCATATTGACCTCTTCACTCCAAAGCTATGCTAAAGATCGTTGGGTCAATTTAGTTACATGTATAGCGGGGCATCCGAAATGTGGGCATTTGATGGGTATGTGGACGTGATGGCAGTCGGGAATAATCATAGAGAATCCAGAATGTTTGCGGTGGCATGGGTGTGTACAGGGTGCGAAGTGTCTATTCTAGGATTCGAAAAACAGCGGGGATTTGTTGATTTTTTTGTAAAACATTTCCCCCTGCCTCTGTAAAACAGAAGGGAATTCACAAAAATATCAGTGAATACCCTTACTAGAATAGACACTGGGCGACGTCTTCTTAATTCCGTTACAAGCAGCCTTCATATCATGCTGAGACATGAAATTGAATTTATCAGGAGTGCCAACGTGTCACTATTTATAAATACACCCGTGAACAAATACTTATAGCCTCTTTAATAATATCAATGGGGTTTGTGTGGACTAGTGGTTAAGACCTCTGATTAAAATCACTTGCTCCTCACCGCTAAAGGTTCGAATTCCGCCAGGAACTTTGGTTTCTTTTATGTGAGAAACTATCCATATAGGTGTTTCTATACCTAGTTGCCTGTTCATGCCTGAAATGATGTCCGGTGGGGAACACGAGGTCTTCCTTCAACAGTAGTTCAAATATTTAGACGTAAACCGTGGATTTGAAGCTGGTCAAATCTGCATTTTCCGATAAACGTAAAAATGTAAAAAAAAAAATGCGATGTCTTTCAATGAAGGACTACTTTCAACAGTAAAGCTGGAAACTCGCCATATGACCGCGACGTAAAACTCAACCAAAAAATAATCTTAGCATACTGAACATCTACTGGGATTCGCTTAAAAATGTTATAATAATGAGCCGCGCCATGACAAAACCAACATAATGGGTTTGCGACCAGCATGGATCCAGACCAGCCTGCACATCCGCGCAGTCTGATCAGGATCCATGCTGTTCGCTTACAAACCCTATAACAAGTAGAGAAACTGATAGCGAACAGCATGGATTCTGATCAGACTGCGCGGATGCGCAGGCTGGTCTGGATCCATGCTGGTCGCAAACACACTATGTTAGTTTTGTCGTGACGCGGCTCAATTATGTTTCATAAATAGACGCTACTTACTTCTTCAGCCATGTTCCAATTATTTCCTCGGACTGACCATTACAATACAGGTTTGCCGTATCTAAAAAATTACCCCCAAGTTCTACAAAGCGATCCAATATCTTGTGCGAGTCGGCCTCGTTCGTTTGCCGTGGATTGCCAAAAAACTGGAAATATATACGGAGAAAAACTTAGCGAGTTGAAAACATCGATAATGGTTGGCTTTATCGCCAGAATGAAAATATTAAAAAATATGTTTCACTGTAGTCGAATAAATGTCAAATTAATTGCAAATATAAAGTAATCAAAGTGGAAAAGTGATACTTTTTGCATAAAGTAGGCCTATCATGATTTACAACTAGAAAAAGAAAAAGAAGTTGTCGAAATAGCAATACATATGTATATTTTACCAGAACTGTCAAGAATTAAAATATAAAAAATATGGTTCACTGTAGTGAAATATTACTAATACAATACTGAAGTTTCGTATAAGCCAATAACAGACAATATGCCCCTAATTCGATATTTGCCATAAGGACATGTAGTAGTTTTTGTACAAAATGTTATTATACAGTGTACATATTTTAAATGATATGAGCCGTGTCATGACAAAACCAACATAGTGTGTTTGCGACCAGCATGGATCCAGACCAGCCTGCGCATCCGCGCAGTCTGATAAGAATCCATGCTGTTCGCTATCAGTTTCTCTATACTTAAAATAGGATTGGTAAGCGAACAGCATGGATCCTGATCAGACTGTGCGGACGCGCAGGCTGGTCTGGATCCATGCTGGTCGCAAACCCATTATGTTGGTTTTGCCATGACACGGCTCAATTATTATATTATATACTTACAACTGCAAGAGGTCCTGTATCAACTGAGCCAAACGTCATAGTACCCAAACAAATGTTTGACACTTTAAGACCAGTCTTCCCCAAGAAGTTATATTCCATTTTTGTCTCGGCCGCCATTTTTCTTTCAAGTTCTTCTGAAGAAAAAAAAAGAGTTGAAATCCTGATGTCAACTTGGGAACAAAATAATGAAAGAAAACTGATCATCATCGTCTCTGAAATTACATGAGCTGGGCTTACATAAAAATGATGTTAATGTAAGCAGACTGGGGAAAAAAAAACCCTTTCATAAACAAAGGAAAAAATTTAAAATTCTAATTTTGTATTTACCGCGATTGCCCTTTAACAAAATAAATTTTTCTTTTTTGTACGTTACATGTTGTCTCTATGCTGAATTTGGGGTTTTATCAAACTCGTTAGGTTTCCCTTTAAAAGGGTTAAATTTGAAAACAAGAGTGTTGAAAAATTTTTAAAACCCCTGTATTTTTTCCCCAGAGTAATTTGCCAAGATATGGATTCTGAGCCAAAAGTAAGTCACTGTATAATGTAATGTACTTGAATCGCTTGATTTGTACTTTTAAAGTTTCATAGACATAGATAACAATCTGAAGACATGATATTTATATGGTTAACTTTATATTTTCTATGCCAGATAACAAAAAAGAAACAAAAAATCTTACATTTATCCAAAGCAATTGTTTGAATTTAATTTACCCACGTTGTCCGAAATATTCAATAGCAATTAACCAGTTCAAGTTTTTGTCATTTATTATGTGTAATGTTCCTGATTTTATACAGGACAAAATCTGGAACTTGCGAGTGTCTTAAATGAGCTCATTGTACATTACGGTGTACATGGTTCTTTCTGAGAGTCATTACGCAAAGACTTTAAAGGGACTCCACTGAGGTTTAAAAGCCTAAAAACATAACATTTGAATTTCTTACATAAATGAGCTGGGACACTTTAAACAGAAATATTGGCAATGATTGTTAAGAAATATACTTTAAAATAAATTGAAAATCGTATTTTTATGCTTAACCCGATTTGAGTGAAAAGTGTTTAAACGCTTTCATTTTGGGTCACTTTTTTAAAATTTGAATAATTATTCTGGAAAAAACAAAGTGCGCGAATGATCTGAAATTTTGCACAAAGATTAGTGGTCTTAACCTACATCAAATTGTACAATTATCTTTCAGTCCCATCATGTCAAAAACCTCAGTGGAGTCCCTTTAATGTCAATCTAAATAAACTTAAAAAACAGAACGCAGTGGTCCGCTTTTGCTTCACTATGTACACAGACCACTGTCATCAAAAGTTATTTTGTAAAAGATTTGATAAAACGTAAGACTGAATAATTATTTTAACAGTGATAATTATATCTTTTGTACGGTGGCACAAAGGTGACATGTGTGTATTTTTATTTATCTCGTGCGCACGAGATACTATGTCGTGGCCATGAGTTCCTAAGTCGTGGCCACGAGATACCGGTAGCTAAGTCTATGCCAAGGGATACTATGTCGTGGCCACGAGATAGCTAAGTCGTGGCCACGAGATACTATGTCGTGGTCACGAGTTACTTAGCCGTGGGAACGAGATAACTAGTTCGGGACTGATCGGACAAATCGGTCGGAACTGAGCGATTGGGACTTCTATTGTTTATAAGATGTACTACATGTGCTACTTTGTGCACTGCATTAATGCAAAAAGTTCTTAAAGTTTTGCTTGACTTATTAAAAATCTACATATAACAGTGAACTACTCCTCCATTAAACATTTCTTTATCCGACAGTACACATTATCCGGCGCCGGCGGTATACTGGGATATATAGTCGAATATTGATCCACATTTACAGTGTCTTTTGTTCTAATGACGAAAAAAAAACTACCAGTTTAATCTAGATTTTCTAAAAGTAGGACGGATCGATGTTCCCTTTATTCACCCAAACTACATGTATATATTGTAGTCTATAATTCAAACACAATTATTCAAGCTAAATTACGTAACACAGATCTACGATATACGTTCATTGTTGCAAAAACGTTACAATAATTTAATGTTGAGTCGTTTAACAATGTAAAATAGCATAAAATAGCATACCTTATAGATTTAATCCAGGACTATACGATTCAAAAATGTATACTAAACATACACATGCATGTAAATGGTCACGGTCATTATATAGTACAAGGATATGCATTAGTCTTAAACTAGGACACTTATTCGTAGCTCCAGATTTACTTATTCTTACGAAAATCTAAAATACCTTAATGAAAAGAGTAACATAAAGTAATTTTAGCTTTCTCGAGGCATTTGAAAATGTATTAATTAAATTTGTGAAAATATGCACAAATATTTTGCAAAGTGTACTGTTTTACATGTCGAGATCTACATCCCTGGTACATGTTATCTATAAACGTAAACAAGTACATGCAAACTTATCTTAACTACGAATTGAATACAAGTTTATGATTTTCTTAAACACAGCTAGCATTCTTGCTTAATCTGCTTTACAGACTTTTTACACGCATCTGAAAGTATGCAGCCTCACACCACTCCACACGACTCATTATAACGATTAACCAACTTGACGGCCCGTATAGACATGCATGAGTTGTTCAAAGTTCCTAAGGGGCCCCGTGAAGTTCTAGATATTGTTAGTATCCCCTACAGTGATTTTATCGCTAAACAAAATAACAATTTGGTATGGTGGCTGATTTCTGCCATTTTGTTTCTTCGATCACCCCTCAAAAGTCGAAGCGAAGACACGATAATATGCACGAGATTTTCATCAGCAACATTATCGTGTCGGTGCCCTATATTTGTCGTGAGTGTCGCTCAAAATGCGAAAGGCGAAGAGGCGATAATAAGCCAATTTATCTTGCCTTTTACTTTCGCATTTTGAGGAAACGGCAATAATAGGGTACCGATACGGAGATATCTACCCGCCGATATGATAATTTTTACAGAAAAAGATCGCGTGTCTTCGCCTATTAAAATATCTTTATTTCGCCTAAAATATATCGTGCCTTTGAGGGGCGAAGACGCGAAATGGGAGAAATCAGCCTCCATAGAGTTCTGGTGCTATGAAAAAAAGAAAAGAAATTCAAACCTTTGTAAGCCCTGTACATGTGCTCTGTCTGAGAAAAAGGGTGGTTTAAGTCCACATTTGCTTCCAGCAAAATATTTAGAACCAGGTCACTTTAGATTTATCGTTGTTCTAATTTTTGTAATACATAAGCCTACGAGGGCTTGAAGTATATAAACGATCACAAACTTGAACTCGTAAATCAATACATCGATAAACTAAACACCGAGTCGTTAATTAAAAGGCAAATATTGTGCCTCAGATAAGGGCAAACATGAGTTCCGTACGTTACAGTAAAACACTGGTTTAAAAGCATGTTATATAGATGCTTCATACCTGAAAAAAGATGTGCTATATGTGAAATCATTTGTCATAAAAGTAGCAAAATATAAACAAAGCAGTACTTTGACTGCCATACAAAATACTTAATCAATTATAACCGTAATTATTGCCAAAAAAAGGTGTAAAATAATGGCTAAAAAATAAGGTAAAATATGGTCCAGGTAGTTTACCATTGAGTAACTTTGTGGAAACTGTAACAAGACACCAAAAATAAAAAGCTTTTTAGAAATAAAATTAAGTATTTCTTGGGTATGATGGGCCTTTAAGGCAAGGTTCAACTAGCTACTCACTAGCTTGGTTACTGTAACAGTTCGAAATATATTTTTGCGAGGGTCCCGGGGTGGTGTGGGTCGAGTCCCGGTCAGGTCGACGTATACAGAATTTTCAGGGGTGTATACAGAAGTTTCGTTTTAGGGGCGAACTGTCAGGCTGGCTTATTGGTGTAAAGTCTTGAAATGTTTTGTATTTGTCTATGCCATTACAATAGCAGAGCGTTTGATTTAACTTCGAATACAGCGACCAGCGCGATAAGCGCCTGGTGATTTTTATTCCGACTGTATGTCAGCATTGTGATGGGACTGAGTTGAAAATGGTGTTATTTTCCTGATTGTCTAATGCTTTTTTACAGTAGCTTTTTGATAATATAAAACACTGATTTAATACTTTGTTAATTAATAATTAACGTCAACGAGTTGTATTAATAGTATGCAATTAGGATTTTTGTATTTTCTGATCGCAAGATCAGTAAATACATAGCTAACATCCACGGTCTAACACAAATTTTCCTAACAGACCTAACAACGCAAAGTAGTTTTTCTCACTCAGAACTGCTTAAAAACCAGCAATTTAAAATAAAGAATAATTTTTAATGTATGCATTTAACGAATTACAGTGCATTAAAAGTTTAGAGTAGTCAATAGAAATATGAGGTTACAATCACAAATTTCGCGGATGAATATCTTTTTTACCCAATGAAAAATGTTCGGCTATTTCCGTAAAGCTTAATCAACGAAAATGCTATTTTGAGCTATGTCGATTACCGAATACTCCAGAGCGTAGTACACATAAATCTGACTGTCGAGTAGTGGAATATATACATGTCGTACTGTTTTGGCGAGAAGATTTTCGCTAAATTATTTTCATCAGTGTTAAACAACAGGTTTATAGTGAAGAAAATACCTCGAAATTAGTAAGGATTACAAACACGGAATGGAAATTCTCAATTTAGAATTGCAATGTATTTGTTATTATTCAAGCTACATATGTATTACTTCACCGTGGTGCAGAGGTAGCGCGCTCGTTTGGGGTGTGAGAGGCCCAAGGTTCAAATCCTAGTCGAGGCAACTTTTTTTTTTGAAGTGTCTTTTTTAAGGAAGTAGCCACGATATGCAAGGATAAAGTATGGCTGTCATAAAAAATGAAAATGATTTTTTGATGCAACTCTAGTCGTGCAAAATTCCATATGTATCAATCTCAAACTGTTATAGACGCAGTCGCTGCGTAAGATTAATTATAGTATATAAAATAAACTTATATAGGAAAATACATACAGATAGTCAGTATGATTTAGATTGCAAAGATCAGAAAATACCACAGAGGTTGCAGCCCTTTGATTTCCATGAATGGGTCCATTATAATTAAGATATCTGTTACAAGATACAAGATACAAGAAACTTTATTTTAAGTCGGTTTACATATTACAAGAAACATTAGCTAATAAGCTATTTACCGACAATAACAAAGGCATAAAACATATTTACTAACATATAACAGTTCTGAAAATAAAAGCATATAAAACTATTAGCAGCTTAAGCATGAAATAAGAGTATCAAGGTTAAGAAGAAACTTTACAATAAGATGGTAAATTAAGGCATAGATTGATGACATGCACAGTACAAATTGTATTAAAGGTAATAACAGTTTCTAAAAGTAATAAATAAATGACTGTAGTCTAGAAATTTAAGTATGATACATATAGCAATGTGAAATAAATAAAAATAATAATAAAAAAATAAAAAAAAATAATAAAATAGTAATATTTAGTTATAAGTTAACATCTACAATTTATTAATAAGTAATTGAAGGTTTCCTAAAAATATATATAAATAAATAAATAGATAAAATTAAACTTACTTATAAAAGTGCATAAAAATTTATGATAGAACTAATACACCATAAAAAGAAACAAGATAAAGCACATACAGTGTAACAAACAAAGTTTACTAAAATTTAGTTGCATGCACAGCCTAATGGAATGGGGAATAAGGAGTTTTAATATGAACAAAGCATACAAACACAACAAAGATTCAACTAGCATAAAATACAAGGGTTTAAGAAAAATTAACACACAACATATAATCAAAGCATCATAGCAAACTAAAAAGGGATGCACAAAAGCAAAGAAAACAAACAAAACATGTAGTCTAAGCATTTACATAAATTAAAACTAAGCAAAATAACAAGCACATAGCAAATTTACAAGCACATAGCACATTTACAGCTTGGGCCACTCCAGACCTGGATCAGTCTCCCAAACTCTTTGTAATTTTCAACCTTGCGGATGTCATTAGGGAGACTGTTCCATATCTGGGCACCTTCAAACTTAAAAGAATTCTTACCGTATGTTACTGTTTTGACCCTTGGGACATTTACACTTTTTTGATACCTAAAAGAATAATTGGAATTTTTAAATTGAATTAAATCATTTATATATGGCGGTGATTTTCCGTACAGGCATTTAAACACTTCTTTGGCTATTATTTTAATTCTTGACAAATGTAAAGTAGGCATATTAACTTTTTTTAATAATGTGTTCATGAGCACATCATAATTTACATTTAAATAAGCAAATATAAAAGATATTTAAAAACAAGATGGCAAATCATTATAAATCTATATAAAAAAATAAATTTCGAAAATGAAAAAAAAATCATATTTTGATAAAAAAATCAGTTAGACATAATAAACGGGTTGACTGGGGCCGGGTTGACTTGTACCGAAATTATTCAATGTGTACTGTAAGCTTTGTAACACCGCACTTTGGGGTCAAACGCACTTTGGGGTCCGACCCCAAAGTGCGTTAAACATCGCACCGCACTTTGGGGTCAAACGCACTTTGGGGTCAAAATCGAGAAATTGACCCCAAAGTGCGTCAATATGCTACATATCAACGCACTTTGGGTTCCAGAGATCTAAAGGTGTCATCTGAGTTCTGCTTAAATACTGGGTACTGACTTATTTTCGATCTGCGACATTGAAATATTTGAGGTGGAGTTCATGATGGCGGTCAATACTTTGATGATGCTTAAGTGATAAAAGTTTCATTAATTTTACCACTCGAAATATCTAAAAATTGTGTTCATATAACAAAATTACGGTGGCATAAAAGTGACATTTGCATTTTTTTTAGTTTTAAAATATGTATGCAAAATTAAAAACGAATATCTATGTATGCAAAACTAAAAAAAAGTATGTGTTCAAAACTTAAAAAAAATATGTACGACAAACTAAAAAAAATATGTACGACAAACTAAAAAATATATGTACGAAAAACAAAACAAAAAAGTATAAAAAAAAATGCAAATGTCACTTTTATGCCACCGTTCAAAATACTCTAGTACAGAAATTGTGTATTCCTAAAATTAAAAGATGCTGCGGAAAATGTCCCGTTTTGTCAGTCATTTACCTGATAACTTTTGGTGCCATATTGAGCCCCATTTTAAATATGTTGGGAATGAAATAAAATGCAGTTAATATTTTTTTCCAAAGAACTATAAATATACTCTATTGCAATGTTCTGGTGAAACATCAAAATTTTCGATCGGACTATAAATAGTGATTTTTACAAAATTAACACATTATTAAGCTTATCAACAAACTTAAGGGTTTTTGTAAGCTCCGTAACAACCGTTCGCCAGAGGCTTTTTTAATGGGAAATCTTACATACTTCGTAAGAAAGAGCAAACATGAATTTTATAATGTTAAAATAATGGTATCAGAGAAATGTAAGATGCTTGTTACCTGAATAAAGTAGCGATAAATGTTAGATTATTTGTCATAAAAGTAGTCAAAACAATGTAGTATTTGACTTCCATATAAAATACTAATACACTATAACTGTACTCATCATTGCCAAAAAGCAACAGATGAAAAAGATGGTTTAGGTAATTGGCCAATGTGTATTTTTTGGATAATATAGAAGAACATCAAAATAAGAAAGCTTTTAAGAAAAACAAATAAAAGCATAATGGGCCTTTAAAACGTTATTTTAACCCTGGGGGGGTCGATACCCCACAATCCCCTCTATACCCCCAGTGAGAATTTTACATTATTCTGAAGCTCCGCTCTTAATGTGCGACTACTTAAATATTTGATATTTTAGGACTACTACCTAAAGCCGCATCTACACCTAGTCAAGTTTCTTATATGTCACATTTAGCTAAATAAATGGCTCTGTCAACATATTATCAGGCACATTTTTTACTGAAATGTCTTACTAAAATTGCCCAGAATTAACACCTTTGTCTATGCAAAGACTATCATATTTCTATAAAATGTGTAAATAAAAAACGGGAAAATAATCCATTTAGCTAAAAACAATGGAGTTAATGAAAGGTGTACATTCTTTTAAAATAAATGGAAAATTTGAAAAAAAATAAAATTTTAAGCTTAATAATTGATACAAATTCTTTATTAGGTGATTTATTTGGTGAAAAGTTTTTCACTTACTAATCAAGACCATTTAAATCCCTATTGATTCTATTATAATCCAGGGCACATGTTTTGCGTCTTTTTAATACCTTGATTTTTTGTTTACCATTCGCTTTGACTACAATATATTATTTAAAACATTATGAACATTAATTTTCTATGACCCCAAAGTGCGGTCGTTTGCCTGATGTTAAAAAATACATATGTACCTGTTTAACGCACTTTGGGGTCGAAATTGGACCCCAAAGTGCGTAACGCACTCTGGGGTCGGACCCCAAAGTACGTAACGCACTTTGGGGTTGGACCCCAAAGTGCGTTTGACCCCAAAGTGCGGTGTTACAAAGCTTTAACATTAGAAATCGTTTCCAGTCATGTTTTTCAGTTTCTTTATCAAGGCTTTGTTAAGGCGGATGTATGGTTGGTTGGTTGGATGGATAGACGTACATCTTCCATAGGAGTGATGTCGGAATTTACCTTTAGGAAATCCTTTCGATTTTTGCACACCACGCGTCCGCTGTTGAATTTATCTCCCTTGATTACTCTTAATTGAACTATTTGAAAATCAACGAGAAAAAAGCCGGGTTTTGTGTCAAAATATTCAGGTAATTGTGTGTTTTTTGACTGGAAAATTGGGCCATATCTTGTATGGATGCCCAATAAATCATATTAATTCTTTATATTTTTAATGAAGAAAATAAAATCGATATCAATCGTGTCAACAAAGATCTCGATGATCGATCTAGATTTTCTTTTGAAAAAAAATCCAAGCGTTGGCAAGATTTGAAAACAAAACAATGCATGTTATAAAATGAGGATAGCTTGTCTTTGATATGCAGGCTTCATATAAGAGGTAACCTCTTATCCCCTTTCAAAATTTCATTCCATGTAATTCCACCCATTGTTCCTTTAATATTAAACTTTTTAAATTAGGGCACCCTAGTTGCATTTGATTTGACCTGAAATATGTTTAATCATGTTATTCGTGTAACATGTCTACGTCCCTGAGACGGGTTTGACATTAACAGAAGATAGATAATATTCAGGGTTGCAGACTTCCCGAAAGTTGAAAAAAACTGTCAGACATTCGGTCTGACAAACCATGAAAATCTGTCAGACCGAAACGAAATCTGTCGGACCAAATAAAATTGATCAAAATCAAAGAATAACTTGTGTTTGTATTTCTAAGACACTTTTTGTTTTTAATTTTTTCGCCGTAAAAATCGGCACATTCCTTACAGCGCATTTTCATCTCCTCCCTATCATACACCAACGATTCACTGTCTTGCTTCTATTTTTCATTAAATTTTGTCTCAGGTCTATTCTTTTTATCCTTTTACTGCTGTTCTGCCTGTTCCTCTGACGTAGATTTTTTATTTTTCCAAGGTTTGGCACCTTTAGCGACGCCATTTTGTAAACATGCGGCTTGGATAAAAGACGGACAGTCGGACCGATCAGGAATAAAAACTCGTCGGACCTGATCAAAATTTATCGGACATGTCTGTCGGACCGACGTATTTCGGGAAGTCTGGGGTTGGCAAAAAACTGGGTTTTATGAGTATCCAAACCATGACCCAAATTCGGCGTTCTCCTAAATTTGGCGATTTTTTGTTTTTTCGTCATTCACGCGAGATTTCAGAGGAAAATGTCCATCATGTTTATGTCCCATGGTCTATTTTTACAACTCCAGTGATTTTCTGTGCTAAATATGGAGATACGGCTGGTAAACATTATAAATTGTATATATATGACATGGAGAAAATTGTGTCTTTTTACCTGATGCAACTTCAAGTTTATCTATACTTTCCTCTATTTGATTGATATTATTGCTTAAAATAATTTGACAGTCGCTGTCTGTTATCTTACTGTTTTTACTGCCAATCTAGGTCAACATTGACTACGTCACAATTCCGCCAAAATTAAAAATTTACTGCAACCAATCAGAATCGCCGAATTTCGGTGACGTTTTCAGATCGTAGTAAGATTTTACATCAGACATATTTGTTTATACTTGGCAACCGCTGAACAATTACATTGTTAGAAATCAACTTAAAGTAACTTTTAAATAGTTGTAGTAAAATTATATCAAGTATAATTATAGAATAATGTGTTTTATTGAAAATGCCATCGACATTTGTTCTTATATCGCCAAATTTAGGTTACACCGGGATATTGCCCAGCCCAACCTGTGTTTTTCTGGGAAATACTGGACATTACCGGATAATACAGCATAATACTATTTACTATGTTATGTTTTGAATATATAGTGCATTTAGAGCTGCATTTTCTTTACAAAGAAAGGTGATAACAAGTAACTTGAAGTGATAATTGTTTGTATAGGCAACAATATACCTTACTTAAAGCTCAAATTGGGGGATTACCTATAATGACTCTTTATATAGTACCAGCAAAAATCTTAACAGTTGAAGCGAATTTGAGCTAATAAGTTTTTACAAGTACAGCAAGTAAAGGTTTAGTTAAACAAACATTCTCTATCAAACATGAAACCTAAGGACCCCATTTTGAGAATGCCTGCAACTTTAGCTTCCATACAGGGCATATTTTCAAACTTTAGACTTATTCAAAATAAATTAAGAAACAAAATTGGAATACAAAAATGTGCCAAGTTTAGTTTTCTGGTACAGAATGCTGTGAGGAAAGGAAGAGAGAGTGATGAACTTATCCTGTACTGTAGCCTGATAATGACAAGCATAGACAACATAGTTGTTGATAAGGGGGGTTTGGTGGCCTAGTCAGTAGTGGTTAAGGTGTCTGCCTCTCAACCCAGAGATCATGGGGTCGAGCCCTACTGTGGTCACGACCATGTTTCTTCATATGACACCAGTACTAGTTGGTTCCAGGAAGCGGACTATAATTATGTACATATAGTAAAAACTTAAAATACCATCTTGTAAAGACCCAAAAGGCCTAGAGCTTAGATATTTTGCATAAGGCATTGTCTGGTAGACCCTTACCAAGAATTTCTCAAATGCAATCTTGTTTAAATTTTTGTTATGTCGTAATAGATGTAATAGGGGTGGTTCAACGCAATTTAAATATATTACCATCCGAGCCACTGAAGGTCAAGTAGGTTCGGGATTGTTAAATCAATTCAACAAACAGCTATTATTAAGTTCTATCATGTTTATCATCATCATCATCATCATCTGCTCATCTGCTTTCAGACTCATTTGACAACTGCTGAAGCCAGCATCACTACTGGATGCCAAGAAAGATCTATATGTACACTTGCTGAATTGCATAAAAAGGCAGGAAAATGGCGGCCCCAGATATGGAGGTTATTAAAGACATTCCAGGATATAAAGTCATCCTTAAAGCTATAATCAAAGCTCAAATACAACAACTGGTAAGTATATATCATATCAGCCCAGGGCCTTGATTATTTATGCCCACTGGTACATGTAACAATTCACGAAGGTGTCCAAAGGCCTTCCTCAACCAATAATTGAATAAGGCTGAAAAGTCGCCATATGATTGTTTCAGTCAGTGACTCAGTGTTGGTGTGACTAAAAACCCAACAAAATAAACATGCAAGGCTTTTTTTCAGATTTAAGGGGAAGTAGGAACTACTTTTCAGGTTTGGAAGAAAACAATAATCAAAACCATTGGTGTTACATGGCATTTTTATCCTGTTACTAGGGGCCAATCTTTAAGCCCTTTTTCTAAGATAATCTTTTTTATTCATAAATCAGAAGAAAGAGAAATAAAATCCTTGTCGGCTCGTAATTACGAGTAGTATTTAAGAGTTTTTACTAAATACAAAACAAATAGAAAAATGTTATCTGCACATTGGATTTAGAAGCTTCTTGTCCTGCAGGATGAGTGACTGAAAATATTTTACGATGCCTGATACTTATAAATAACTTTAAACCTTTATAAGGTAGTTTGTAAAATTTCCCACTTTTCCTAAGGGATATTTTTCTAAAAAAGCTAGAAATGTCTTAGAATAGTGAAAATGTTGGGATGTTAAGAATATACGATATTTCAGAAGTGGCAAAATGATAATCAGTGGATTTTGCCAGTCCTGATATTGCATACGTTTTGACGTATAATAAATTGTCTTATTTTTTGTAGGTTGAGCAGTTGGCAGCACACACAGACGAAGAGTCAGTGATATTGACAGCCAGTGTTGCCGATGGTACACTTAGTCACCTGGGCTCAGATTCTGGAAAAGGATTCCTCGAAGAACAAGAAGATGTTAAAACACAGTTCCTTGGTTTCTGTCTTAAAAGTATGATGTATTTGTTTTATCTTTGAGATAGAATTAGTTTAAACTTTATATACAGTCGACTCTCTGTATCTCAAAGTCATCGTGTTTTCTTGAGCCTATTATCTCTAATTCAAATTAGTCAATATTTATAAAGTTACATAAGGGGATGTTTACCAGTAGAAATATGGGTGTTTTGTGATAAAAACACATAGTCAGGTTTACTCAGTAATACAAAACTATAGAGAAAACAGTGTTTTAGCGTGATCGATCCTGATATCTTCCCGGGTTGGTTATCAGGACCTTCTCGAGATTGTTTGACCGCTGTTTGAATATTTTTGATGTTGTGAAACAAAATTGCAACAATACATTTCCATACTTTCACTCTTTCATTTTCATTTCAAGTCATAAAGTCATAAAATATTTTTTTAAATAATGGAATATTCCCTCCTTTTGGACATAAGTCAATCAACACTCTAATAAGATTTACTTTTATAATAACAGCTCAACTTGTTAAAAACATATTCATCATTATGACTTGCGCTATTGAGCGATTATTGTCTGGTTTGTGTTTTTCACACATCAGGGGACAGAATGTATAAGTAGAGATAAACAAGGGATAAAAGTGTGAAAATAGCTGTTGGGTCTGAAATTTACTTCGAGATATTGAAAGTATCGAAATAAATATATCCAGATAAACAAAGATATCTAATATAGGTAAAGAATTGAGAAAATCTGAACTTTCAAAATTCATCGAGATAACAAAATATCGAGAAAAGTGATGCCGAGATAATGATAGTTGACTGTATTATGCTAAATTTTGAAGAAACTGGAAAGTGTCCATTTTACGGACCGTTCGTTGACCGAACCCAAACAAAGAATGAAAAACAATCGCTGGTCTAATGCATTAACAGATAATGAGGGTGGCTGAGTCACAGGAATCATATGGTTTGGTACATTTTGAATGACCCCAGTATTTTCCAAAATTAGCAATCAAGCAGATAATTGCCAACAAACATAAGCATCATGATTCTTGTTGCCTAAGTGAGCCATTAACAGCATATACATTTGTTAAACATGGCTTTTTTTGTTAATTGTGTGCATTTGGTAGTAATTTATAAGCCATAGGATGCAGAAACAAATTTGTTATTAAGATGAGAGGTGTTATCTTGTCTTTTTCTGCAGATAAATGTACACACTATGATTTATACTTGTATCGTGAACTTGTATTGCAGTACTTCCCTAAAGTTTAATCAAACTTGAAATACTTGTGACCAATTAAATTTCATGAACTATATGTTGCATTTACAATCTATTATTGCAATCTTATATGACACAGTTTGTAAAAAATTATATCATGCAGGGCTTTCTGTCAAATAGCGAACAAGCCCTTCCTTAAATCTTTGGAATACTAACACAGTATATAATACTGTATATTATAATAATTTTTTTTGCAATAGGTAAAGGAAAAACTTAATGTCAATTGAATTTTAGGAGTAAGCTGCACAATTTAAACTAATCTTATAGGGGAATGGCCCAGGGGCTTCATAGAAGAAAAAGGAAAACAACACCCGGGTTATGTATAATTTAATAATCCTGTTAGTAGATTTTTCCAAAAATGAATTGAATATGCAAAGTACCTGAATTTACATATTCTCATTACAGGGCATCCATAAAAAAGTTACAAGCGAGAAGGAAAAAGAAAGACTGAAATCACAGGGGCCATTGCCAGGCCCAGTTTGATCTTGGACCCGGTCCAAGAAGTCCACGATTGCCATCACCATGGATCCCAAGAAACCCTTTCTCACCTCAAGTATTCCAAGATGCGTTCTTTCGTCAATAGAATGAACCATATGACATTCCAAAAGGCCTGGCCGATAGAACTTCATCTGACACATCATTCTCAGAATCTAGTCAAATGACTCCCGGTGCATCATTTCAACCAGGGGCTATCTCAACACCTCAGGAAAACATTGGAAACAGGCGATGAAAACCGAACCCCCGACGACAGCAAGGAAATAATAAGACATACAATACAATTTACACTGGCACAAATAACAAAGTGAAAAAGAACTGCGGGGTGCCAGGGTTATAGATGTGACCCCAACTTGGAAAGTAGAAGCTATTAGTGAATCAGAATTTGAACTGAATAACAGGTTTGAGCCGGAGACCCGCTTCCCCAGAAAAATGGTACCCCAATTTTTTAATAGGATAATTGTCCATCAAAGGTGCGCCGGGGGCCAAGTTAAACCTCAACAGGGAACCCGTAAGTTCAATTTCTTTAAAAAGTAATTCTGACCCTTTCCAAATTTTATCCCTTTTGATGTTATAAATTATAAAAGATTATCTTTTTTAATTTCTTTTGGGGGTAATCATCATGATAAGAGAGTCAAATTTTCAAAATTTTCCTGATACTTTTGTATGTGCCTGGGATACCTGCTGTGGACTTTAGTTATCCAGTTATCTTACAAACAGTCTGTGGTTGTACCTTAATTCCTTGTTACATTTCTTTTGATGAATGTAGGGACATTTGGGAAGTTCACTTAATTTAGCTTATTTGCCTTGTATTTTGAACAGAGTAGGTTTTGTATAAAATCTGAAGCAAACTAGTAAACCATTGTTAAGTGTCAGTTCTGATTCACAGAGATTTTTCAACTTTACTGGTGGAGGAATTACTCGGGTGCCCCTATGTAAATTATCTCAGGCACAAACGGGCACTTAAGTAGGTGCAATCCGTCAGTCAACGCAACAAAAAAAAGAATAAGTCTTCACTCTGTAATAATAGAATATGGGGCCATGGCTCTTGGTTCAGCAACAGAAAATGACCAAAAAAATGCTTCGGCTGGTTATCCGAGCAAACGATAAAGGAGCTTAAGGCCAGTCTACAAATCTGCATGGTCTAACCAGATCAATTGACCACATCTTATTTGTTCATTATCCCTTAGTATTTTCCTTAAAAAAAAAAATCAATGAATATATAATGCTATGCATTAATTGATAATAATGTCATGTACATAATAATGTCATGTACATGCACTTAAATAAACAATGTGTGTAAAATAACTTATAAAATTATGTACCTGAAAAACAGGAATTGTTATACATACAGAAAGTGTTTTTGATCTTTGGAAATGGTTAACAGTTTGCAACTGCCGTCTTTGTTTATGTGAGATTACATGTAATATTTATGGCATATTTTGTTGTAAATTAATGAAATAATTCTTTTTTTGGAAATAAGAAAAAAAAAACAGAATAAATTTCAGAGACTTACTTTACATGTAAAGTGTATGTTACATGTCTCACATAATTGATGAAGGTGTGAGTGCATTCTGTTGTTTATTCACAAACAAGCATCACTAAATCATAAATGATAATAGATTTATGTACAAACATAAAATTTTTGTCCACAAAATGCATTTATTATAACTAGTCTTTTCAAGACATTCAATTAATGATTTATTGCAAAAAATGCTTAAAGCATACAGTTTAGAAATTCATGTATGTGTTTATATTAGACCACATTATGTTCTTGACTAATCTACATTTGGAATAATTACTTTAGAAACTCCAGGTGACAACTGATTCCTATGACTAACATCCACCCCTCCTTACCTGTCCTTGAAAACACACCGATTGATATGATTTTCGATAAAATACAGTGATTTTTTCCCCTGTATTTTACAGCCGAATAAAGGCTGTTTCCCCTAGCTCAAAATAGGTATATTTTCCCCTAAAAAAGCTAATATTTTCCCCTGAAATGCCCTGTGCACTTCTTCACCAGAACCATGACTAAACTGCATCTGACTTATTATATCACCTAGAAGACAGAAACTGTCCCTATAGCCTCTGCTATGTACCATGCATGTTAAATTGAATTAAAATTGAAAACTTAATAAAATGTGTGGGTAAATTCGGATTCCATTCTCAGTATTTCCCATTTTCTGATTTATCTCGCTATATTTTCCCCTTAGAAGGCCACAGGTTGTTTTGAAAATTGGAAAAAAAATCACTGTCCTAATAATGATAAATTGATAATTGGGCATCATTTTTCATCTGAGATCAGAAACTGTTGCCCAATATTACAACTTTTTTGGTTCAGGACTTCTATAGTGGAAGTGTGGAAGTCCTTTACTCCTTGATTTGGGCTTGGTAACTCCCATAAATAATATAATGCTCTTCCTTCATTACCTATATAATTATTATAATGTGACTTCAGATGTCAATCGTTTGACAGTCCATGACTTCTAAATTTTGGAACTTAATGGTCACATTGTTTGTTTGTCTCAGTTGAGTGAAAAAGGCTCAAAATGCCATTTTATGTCTATACTGCAATGCACTGGCTAATAGTGCAATTACAATTCTGTGATCGTCTTCAAATTAGATTTTCATCACTGCTGTTGGTACAATTGAGGTGCATGTGCTAACCTGATTCTGTACAGGTGTAGGTTAGTTTCTTACAGATCTTTTTGTAGAAACATACCTATCTTTCCATTTTACTCCTCTAAACATTTACAGTCCCCCACCCCCCCGGACCACACTCTTAAAACCTAAAAACAACAAAAAAGACTTAGAAAATGGAAATAAACACCTGCATTAAATGTATTGAATGTTGTCAGAAAGACACTAAAATCTCCCAAAATTACATTCTGTTTTTAATTTTGAAATAAATGCTTGTTTGTGAATGATAATATTACTATGATTTGTTATTTTAGAGTATTTACTATGTTATACAGTGTTTGAGATAGGTTGCCAGTTCTTCCAAAGAAATGTAGGTTGATAGTTCTTCTCAATCAAATGTTTAATTAAAAATATGAGTTTCAACCAAAATTTATATAAGCAATTTTTAAAGGGCCAAATTTTTGTAAAATTTGAAAGTCAATTTTTAAAAAAAGCGTTATTGTAAAATTGTATTAAAAATTTTTGGGATGGTTTATATTCATTTTAAAAAAAATTTTAAATTTCATTTTCCCAGTTGAAAAATTTAAAAATCAGCTTTAAAAATTAGTAAAAAAATCGGGGCCAAA